CCGCCCGCTGTCGTCTCGATGGCCGGCTTGTGGGAAGAGGCGCCGCGCAACCCGCCGCTCGCTCCCCTTATAGCAGGTCCAGGAGAAGTGGCACCTGGTGGAGGACCTGTCGCGGCTGCTGCGGGAGCTGGACCCGGGCGAATATCCGTGCCCCGAGTCCCCTCACTCCCGAGCCTCGCACCGACGGCCCTTCTGCCCCGGATTCCCATGCCCTGGCTCCCCGGGCCCCAGGCCCCCCTGGCCGGGACCCTCCCTCGCCGATCCTGGGCTGCGCTCCCCGGGCCCTGGATCACGGTCCTCCGAGACCCGCCCGCAGGTTCCGCCTCCCCAGTGGCATGGAGCTGCAGCACCCTAACCCTGCCTAACCCTAACCCTGCCTCCACCCACCGCCTCTGGAGGCCTGACCTGAGGCCCTCACTCCACCGCCCAGTCCTCTTTACCCCACACTCCCGGCCCCTGGTGACCACCCTCCCTCTCAGTGGCTCCTGGGCCTCTGGCAGGGGTCCCCAAAAAGGGGCACACACCTCCAAGGGCAGCAGGAAGAACATACGGGAATTTCTATCTATATTTTTATCTCATCCCTTTATAATGTCTGTTTCTTGTTGAATGTTTTATAGTGTACATAATATATTAGTATACTAACCCATGAAAGCAATTAATAAACGTACATTTATTGGAAGTGCTCAGAAATTGTTTACTGACGGAAGCACTTCAGGAGGGCTTGCTCTGCGTTCTAGCTGAGTACCGCCCACCGAGTCCCCTTCTGTCACTGCTCCAGCCTTGCCCCTTGTTGATGCTGTGGCTTTAACCTTTGCGGCCCTCAGCCGTTTGAGTGAACGAGAGGATGTTGGGGTCAACCTCTCCCAGGGATTCCTCGCCCTCCGATATCTCAACCCAGCAGCCACATCAACAAAGCCGCCTTGGGGATACCAAAACAGAGCCCGTGGCCGTGCCTTCTGCAGAACCCTGTTCTCCCAGCCTGCTTCATGTCCCCCTGGTTGAGCCAACCTTGAGGAATGATGGGGTAAAGGTGCTCTTCCAGGGCCTTAGTGGCATGTATGGCCTGCATCATGAGAAACATACAGCGTGCAGGCTGCAGGAGGTGGTCCAGGGAGGCGGCACAGCCATCAGGGACCCACAGGCAGAGCTGGGATGCCGCCAGAGCTAGGATTCTTGAGGCTGTTCAAGACTCCTTTTCCAAGCCTTGGTGAACACCTGAGAAGCTGTCAGAAGCTGGCCCCATGCCAGCGACTCCAGTGAGACTGGTCTGGGTACAGCCAGCGGCCAGGACATCGGGACTTTTTAAAGCTCCCAGGGGACTCTCACAGGCAGCTGTGGGGTTGAGAACTGCCAGGAGGGAAGATCAGAAATCCCAGGACGTGCTCCACCAGGGGACCAGCTCCTGGCAGCATTCCTGGCCTGGACTCTGCATCTGGCAGCTCTGGCCTGACGCCCTTGTGGCCGGGGGTTTCTTCGTGTGGTCATTAAAGACTTGGTCATTCCAGCCTCTCCTGTCCCTGTCTTTATGTCACTTAGCCAGCATCACAGGACCTATCAGTCCATCATCGAACACGGATTAGGTGCTGCTCACCGGATGGTCCTGTTCTGGGGCTGGCGAGGAGGCCATGCGGGAAGCAGAGGGAGCTCTGTGTTCTGTCTGGGGAGGTGAAAGCCTGGTCCAGGTGAAAGTGACACATGTTAATTAGCAGTGTAGGGCCCAAGTGTGGCCTCTGGACCAGCAGCAGCAGCACCTGGGAACAGGTGAGACGTGCAAACCCGCAGGCCCCACCTCGGCTTCCTGAACCAGAGTGAGGGTGATGCTCATGGCTGCTTAAGCGTGGGGCCCTCTGCACTGAGGCGTCAAGGCCCTTGTCCCCTGCATGCCCCTTCAGCAAACACTTCCTGCCAGCCGCCCACGCCGTGCATTGCTGGGTGTGCTGTAGGAGCTCTGGGAGGGAGAAGACAAGCTCAGGGACCTTGAGGAAGTCACCAAACTCGGGCCCTCGGTTTGATCATCCAAGACATGGGGCAGTGCCTTGCTCCCCTGAGTGGGTGTGAAGATTAAACAAGCAAGCACTTAGAAAGCAAGCCGACGGGTGCCTGGAAGTGCAGTGAGGCGTTATAATGTGGTCACTGCCTGAAGGAGCCGCATGGGAGAGATGGGCAGTGGGCCGAGAGCCCTGTGATGGGGACTGCCCAGGAAGACAACCCAGGGGGCTCAGGGCATGGGCCACTTCCGGCAGGAGGGTTCCTGGAGGAGGTGACAAGTGGGGCCTGGGAGAAAGGGAGGCTTCAGACAGGAGCTGCGAGCAGAGGGGAGGCCTGAGCCATGGCGTGGAGATGGGCTGGGCGGGGCAGGCTGGACACTGAAACCTGAGGCCCTCAGACCAGGACATGGGGCACACGGGGACGGCCAGACTGAAGAGGGCACCGGCATGCCCACAGGCATGACCTTCTGCAGATGACAGGGAACAGGGGCACGACATGGTGAACCAGCTGTACAGCAGCCCAGAACCTACGCCCAGGCAGGGGGAGCGGGGGAGTTATTGTGGGACATGAAGTCAAGGTCTCACCTGGTGTAAGCGCCCTCTGCAGGGGGAGAGGGCAGGAGTCCTGGCCCCAAACCCTGGGGATTCCTGGGCCTTCCCCTCCCCAGCCCTGAGAGGCCGCCACCCTTCTCCCCACCTGCCCCAGCTACACTGGCCAAGGCAGACCCCTCCGGGAAGGTGGCATGAGGGAAACAAGGAGATACCAGTGATGCCACTTGTTATAGAGGAGACCGGCCCTCCGTGGGCAAAAATCACAGCACCTCAGTCTGCAGCGGGTGACTGGAGAGCTTGGGGGGCTCCCCAAACTCCACTCAGGGTGACCTGGGGTGACCTCAGAGGCACAGCCTGCTCTGCAGTCTGGACAGCTGGGCAGGGCAGCCCAGAGGACCAGCCCCTCATCAGGTGGCCACACAGATAGTCCCTAGAGAGGGGCCCACCAAGGCCTGGGGAAAACGTCCCTTGGGTCTGCCGCTCTCTCTCCTCTACCGGCTTCCCAAACACACTGAGAAGAGGAGGAGCTTCTCACAGCTGCCTTATCTGATCGGTGCCCTGAAACATGAATGAGTTTCCTCTGGGCCTCCAGGCGACAGATTGCCCGCAGCCTGGGACCTTGGCAGCCGGCCAGCCTGCCACACCTGCTTTGTCCCCCTGCAATCTTCAATTCCTTCCCCAATGCCCTTCAGCAGAAGTGAGAACAGACTTTTTGGAAGGGGATTTTGCTAGGAAACTTAGAGAAAATGCTCTTGCTCCCTGAATGGGGAAACTAAAAGCAGAGAGGTCAGTGGGCACAGAGGGGGCAGGCTGCATCCCTAGGGCCATGGGTGACAAGTGACAGAAGCTGTCTCAAGGTGGCTGGGAGAAAGGAGACAACCAAGGGGCCAACAGAGCCGACTCTGCCCATTGTCCTCCCAGCCGCTCCCTGGCTAGCATGGCCACCCCTCAGACAAGCTTCCTGACACACCCAGACCTCACGGGCCTCAGCAGATCCCCTGAGAATGGCCGAGAGGGGTCCCAGGGGGCAAGGCTGTAATTGGCCTTCTGGGGTAAGGGGTCCATTCCCGGACTAACCAGCCAAGCCTGGAGCAGGGAGTGCAGTTGACCACTCAGGCTCTGTAGGAAACAAGAGCTCCCATCGTAGGCAAAGGCGACCTGGTGGCAGGGACACTGTCTCTGAAGAAGGCAGCTCAAATGGGCACTTCCTGCACAAAGCGAGTGAGCCCAGCCAGAAAGGGACAGGCTGGTGCAGCAGCCCCAGGCCTGGGCATGGGCAGGGGCTCCTGGTCCTCACCCTGCCTACCCCTCGGCTCTCCCTGTGCTTGGGCTGCCCTGAGCGCCGGCCCTGAGGGGTCCAGCCCCTGGCTGGCCGCAGGGCTCTGGGACACCTTGTTCACTCCCACCCTGCCCTCCAGGTCCAGCTGCTCTGCTGCAGGCGGCTGATAAGGCCATGACTCTATCTGTGATGTGGCTCAATCTCCTTTTCGTTGAGGTTGGCATTGTGCCCAGGTTCCTGGAACGGCCATCCACATGACCTCCCGGCACCGCCAGTGGGGCTGGAGGAAGGGCCCTGCCCCTCTGAACCCCTGGAGGGTGGTGCTTGAGCACATCGAATCACACCCCTGGCGCCCCCAGGGGCCTCGTCTATTCTGAGGCTTCATTCTGGGCCGGGCGTGGCATGGGCCACCTAGCAGGTGCCCAGTCGTGGGTGGCTGTGAACGGACATGCAAGGGGCAGAAGTTGCCTGTCCTCCCTGCTTCTCTAGCAGGGTCCGGCCCGCCAATCCTCCCCGGCTGCCTTGTAACGACCCTCGTGGTGACATGAGGCCCCCCCAGATAATCTAGGACCACCGCACCATCTCAAAATCAGCAGACTGGCAGCCTCAGCTCCCCCTGTCCTATAGCATAACATGCTCGTGCGGCCAGGGGATAGGACGCAGACATCCTCTACCCACAGTCCTGCAGCTCAGCTGCGCTGGGTCTGCCAGGGCTCTGAGGCCCTGGGATGCTGGGCCCCCAGGTTACCTCCTCGGTCTCCTCACCTCAGGCGCCACCCAGCGAGCATCCCGGGGTCCCCAGCGTGGAGGAGGCCGGAACCTAGGAAGCTGTCACAAGCCTGAGCAGAGGCCCCACACCCACCTAGCCACGAGCACCCTTCGGCTGCTCTGCCTGGCTGTGCTGGGCAAGCCCACCGCGGACGTTGGTGGGAGACTGCTGCCAGGGCCTCGAGGGGCAGGCCCAGGCAGGGTGTGCAGGGGGCACAAGACAGGCGGGACCGGAAGGCGTGTGTTCCTCTGGAAGCACGGCACGGAGAGGGGAGATCTGGGCTTGAGTCTCAGACCAGCCCCTACTGCACACATGGTTCCGTCACTGCCCCACCATCATGGGCTGTTTTCCCATCTGCAAAAGGGGCCGATGATACTAAGCATGGTGGGTGCAAAAGAGCTTCTGTGAGTGGGGCACCGGGAGTCCTGGGCCGCACCACAGGGAATCAGCGGGAGGCCCTCTGGACCGCCTCCTGCTCCCCTCACCCCCGTTACCGCTCTAACAGCCGCCAGCAGCTTCTCCAAGGAGCAGGAAGGGGTGAGTAGCCCAGTACGCTGGTGGGAGAAGTCCCCCCAGCTGGGAACCCTGGCATCAGAACCCCCACCCGTGGCGGGTGCCTGGGCTGGGGAGCAGGTTGCTGATGGTGACCAGGTGTGTGCCAGAGGACAGCAGGACAGTTCTGGATCCCAGCTTCTCCCCAGCAGGGCCCTGGGGGGATGGAGAGGAGCAGGCTGAGCAGGCCAGCGCGGGAAACCTCCAGGAGACACCGGGCAGGGATGGTGCTTGGCTCCCGGCTTCCGGCTGGGCTGTTTGGAGGGGGATGTTCCCTGAGCAGGTGCGCCCCACTTGCTCCACCTCAGGTCCCTGGTCTGGAGCTCAAGCTCCTCTGGAAGCCCCACTGCCAGCCGGGTGGGCGGGACCCCAGAGAGGGCTGGGGAGTTTGGTGGGGCACCTTGGCCTCGGGCCAGCACCAGGGCAATGTCCGGCATATGGGAGGCTGCCTTACTCTTGGAGGCAGCTCGAGAGCGTCTGGGTCTCACTCTCCGAGGATCCATAGCAGTACAGAGCCAGGGAGGAGGGGACACCAGGGAAGGTCCCTGACAGCCCCTGGCTGGGCCCACTCCTCACCTTTGCCTGCTCAGTCACCTCCCTGTCTTGTCCCATCCAACCCCTTACCCTGTGTTGCCGGGTCACCAAGTCACAGAGCAGAGCATCCCCCTCTATTCTACTTAAGGGCAGGTGCTGGGTAGTGGTGACGCCCGTCTTGCTTGAATGAGGCACAGGCTGAACTGCCATTTCCTCATTTGCTTTAAAACCCAACATGTCGTTGGTGTTGCTGCTAAAAAGAGAGTCAGCGGCGGGGCCTGGGGGAAGTCCCCGTGCAGGGGCCGCCTCTACCTGGGCTCCTGCCTTCTGCTCAGATTTGTTGAGGGTGTGTTTGGTCGCAGGCGCCGTTCCAGGCCCTGACGACTCAGCAAGTTGTGAAAACAAAACCTTCATGTGTCTTACATTCTGGTGGGGCCAGGGGACAGATGATGCTAAAAGTCAGCACGTTCTGCAGTGTGTTAGAATTTCTAGAAGAAGCAAGCAGGTCAGAGGAAAGGGGAACACAGAGTGGGTGGAGGGAGGGTGGCATTTGCGACGTCGTCACTGAGAAGAGGCCACACGGCAAGGACTCGAGGGAGGTAGCAGAGGGGAGTGTGCCTGGACCAGGGCCCTGTGTGGCCAGAGCACAAGCAGCAGGGTCAGGGTGTCAGGCGAGGTCGGAGGTCTGGGCAGGGGGTTGACTGGGGAGGGCCCTGTGGGGTGCCGCCGCAAGGGGGCATGGAGCAGAGCACACGATCTCATCTGCCCTCAATGGGTCATTTAGCTGCCGTGTTGGGATGGGGCTCAAAGGCAGAATCCCAGGGAGCCATGAGGCTGCTCCCAGGACCAGAGCAGAGAATGCAGGGGTGGCTGGGGCGGGGTGGATGCCCGTTCTGGAGGCCCAGAGCATCTGCTGGCACATGGGCTGGGGCGGGGAGGACAGCCACCGAAGCGAGGCTAAGGTTTTTGGCCCAAGCATCTGGAAGGACTGGCTGAATACAGTGCAGCCTGACAACAGCGTATTATGGGCTGGAACAACTTCAGTGGAAGTGGGAAGGTGGACACAAGGTGTTGGAAGTTAAGGAACTGAAGGACCAGGATATTGGAGAGATGATTTCTGTGTATTTCGAAATCTCCAGGAATCACAGCAAGTGCGGCATTAAGTGCAGTAGGAGCCAAGGACAGGAATCGCCAGGAACAATGATGTCTGTGGATCACTGTGGCCCAGGGAACAGGGTGGAATGTGCTGGAAGACGTGAGTGCTATTTGGGTGGGGGGGATGGTTTAGGGAGGGAGAAGCATCAAGAGGATGTTGATCCCCCTGTCCCAGCCCAGTGTCACCTGAGACGGTGGCAGGGGTACAGCCCCTGGGGAGGAGGGGTCTGGTTTCCATGAGGTGTGGACAAGAAGATGTTGGTTGAAAGACTGAGGGCATAGGGGACTTTGACACCAAGTGAGCCCACATTCCAGGGGACACAGAAGGAGGACCTCAGGATGGGCAGGTGGGAGGTGGCACACACAGGAACCTGCAGAGCCCTAGAAGGGCTGGGGCGGGGAGGGTGGCGGTGATCGGGGATCCCCGGGGTTCTTGTGGGACTGACCCAGTTATCCCAGAGACAAGTCTGGAAAGAGGTGCGGGAAATCCCCCAGGGCCGAGCCCTGCCGGGCCCCCGCGTCACGGTCTGGGGCCTAGACACGGGCCCTGGGCGGCCACCTCCGTCTGCAGCGGCATGCACCGCCCTGCCGTCGGAAGGAAGCTCTGTGCAGCGACCCCTCAGCCCAGCCTGCGCTTGGCTTAGCTTCCTATCCCAGAGGTGGCCTGGTTGTCACTTCGTCAAATTTCGGACCGTGCAATTCCATCATTCAAACGTTCTGACACAGCAGGTGAATTTTAAATTAGATGACAGACCACCCTTTACGGTGGGCTAGATCCGTAAAGGAAACCATCACAAGGAGAAACCCGCAAGTCTTGCCAGAGTCACAGCGAACGCCCGGCTGCACAGCACGCTCTAAACTTGGCTCCTGCCTGGGAACTTACGCAAATCGAGCTGCTGTTACTGTCCACTGACACAGACACGAGGCGGGGCAGTTTTTTCTTTCCACTTTTATAAGTCAAGATCATTTCCCTCATGAAGGGACCGGAAAAAGGGCTAATGCGCTTCAGCCCCAGAAGCCCTTTAGACCCCGATGGGGAGGCCTCCTGGCCCTGAGGCCACAGCGGGGAGATTATTGGTAAAACGTGCAAAACAGTGCCCTAGAGCGTAATTTCACCTCTAGATATTGCTTTACTTTGTTCAAATCAAAGAGTTTTGCATAATTCTGTGAAGGCAGAGTTGAGGAAAAAATAAGTAAATAAATCATTTAAATAAAAATAAAAAAGATTTTGCAGGAAAGCCTGTTTGAAAAAATATATATATCCCTCCCACCCCTCAAGTGAGAGTTCTCATGAGGTTTCGAAAGAGGCGCAAAGGAGAAAGCACCGTTGGCATCTGTGCAGCCTTGAGCAGGGGAAGGAGTCCTGACCCTGAGGGCTCCTGCTGGCGGTCTCGGCCACGTGGGATGGACAGCGCCTGTCGTGGGGCTGTCCTGTGCATTGCAGGACGTGCACCCGCATCCCTGGCCTCTACCCGCTACACGCCAGGAGCACCCCCAACCCCCTCGATTTTGACAACCCCAAATGTCTCCAGACACAAAGGTCCCTGGAGGGAAGCTCGCCATGGTTGAGAATATTGGGCTAGAACAAAGTATGCTCAGCGATCAAAAACCTCAGGACTCCCAGGAAATGTCTCTGAAGAACATCACGCCTGGTTTGTTCCGATTCCCTGCTCAACGAGCAGATTTCTGATTGCAGTGCAGTTTCCAGGGCAGACGCACCCAGCACAGCACGGGTGATCTTTGAAGTCTCTCGACATTTAGATTTCGTAGACCCTTCTCTCTGCGTTGCCCCCACCCAAGCTCTGCCCCTGCACACACTGCCCTGAACACGCAAGCAGGTCCCCAGCATCGGTTCAACCGTCTGCCGCCAGCCCCCATTCAGGAGGCATCTTTGTTTAACCCCAGTCGCCATCTAGAGAATGAGTAAAGGCAGCGCCAGGCCCAGTGGGAAGATCTCAGAGACGTTTTCTGCACTGAAATCGACTCCAGGATCTGCCTGCAAAGCAGAACAGTCACTTGCAAGCCGGTACCCGGTCTAGGTGGGGGAAGGTCTGCTGGAACAGGCCGGAGGGCAGGTTCCCCACCCCGGGAGTGGGGAGGACAGTCCTTTGGGTGCCATGAGCACGCTGGCCTCCTACAGGACACTCTCATTCTTCGAAAGTCCTACTTTCCTGAAGTTGCCTCCCTCTGACCAGTTGAGCCCACCTCTTCCGAGCTGGGATCCTTCTCCTGCAACGACTCTCTGGGACCTGGTCGTGCCCTCTGCCCCCTGCCTCTGGACTGTCCTTATACACCAGATGTTGACCTCCCTGGGTGCATCCCCAGTCCCATGGCGGGTCCGCATGACAGAGCCTCTGATACCTGAGGGTGGGTGCAGATTTGAGTTCCTGAAGGCAGGGCTGGCTCTGGTTCCTGGGGTCCCTGGTGCACCTTGTCTCTCGCTGTCCCCATCCCATGAGGGCATCCCAGCTCCCGTGTTCCTCCAGAATCACTCGACTGCAGCATGAATCTTCACCACGGAAACAGATGCCTGGACCCAGGCCACAGGCCACGCTTCTGCATGCCACTTGAGAGTAACTGCTTTTTAATTTAAAGGAGTCATTCAACCAACAAACAGTAAATTTCTGGTCTCCTACCCGGCCAGAGATGCAGCGATACGGGAGAGGGACCCGGTACTGCCCTTGCAGCTTACGGTCGGTAAAGCAGTTGAGTCCGGGTTCAGGGTCTCAGCCCTCCTAACCTGTGCTCCAAACCACTCGTATCCAAACTGCGTTTTATTTTTATTGTTATTCTGGGCACAAAGAGCCTGAACCCAGGAGTTACACATTTTCCCAGTATTTTCTCTTCTCTTTTCTTTTTTTAAAGTGAAATTCGTGTAACAAGTTAACCATTTTAAAGTGATAATTCCATGGTGCTGAGCACATTCACAGCGTTGTGCAACCACGGCCGACCTCTATCTAGTTCTAGAACATTTCCATCAGCCCAGGAGGAAGCCTCGGACTCCGGCGGCAGTTAACGCCCGTTTCCCCTCCCCCGGGACCTGCTCACACCGACCTGCTTTCCACCTCCGGACTTGCCTGCCCTGGGCAGTTCACAGACACGGAATCATGCGCTGGTTGCCTTCACGCCTGACTTCCTTGGCTTGGCACAATGTCGTCAAGGTCCAGTAACGTCACAGCACGGACCCGCACTTCATTTCTTAAGGCTGAACAATACCCCACTGTATGGTGGCGCACATGGCGTTTGCCACGCCTCTGTTGACAGACATTTGGGCTGTTTCCTCCTTTTGGCTGTTGTGGATAATGCTGCCGTGAACATGTGCGTGCACGTATCTGTTTTCAGTTCCTGCAGTATATGTCTAGGAGTGGAATTCCTGGGTCGTATGGTAATTCTTTAACTTTTTCAGGAACCAACAATAGTATTTTCTTAAGCACTTGATAAATGTTGGTTTCTTTCTTCCTCCTTGGACCGTTTGCCTCCCAGAAATCAGCCTGAAGGTCTCCATTGCCTACAAAGTCCTGGAAGTTGTCCTCAAAGGCCGCCAGGTGCTCACAATGCTACTCACCCCAGGGGCCCCCACCCATCACCTACCTACTCCCTCTGGGAGAGCCCAGACATCCCAGGTGGCCAAGAAGGTGGTGAGGACCCAGGATCCAGCCTCCTTCAACGTCAGTGTCACACTCAGGCCCAGGCCAGACCTGCTCACCTACTCCTGCCAGGCACCTCTGTCTTGGGTGTCCCCGAGGCTGCAGATGTCCTGGGAGCCATGGGCTAGTGAGTGCCTGGGGGGTGCAGGCTGGGGAGCCAGTGGGATGCAGGTGGACAGGGTGCTCCTGGGGGTGGGATAGAGAGGACCAGGGCATGAGGGTGGGGACAGGACAGGCTGCTGCCTCCAGGGCCCGAGGGCAGAAGTGACCTAGGGCCCCTGGGGCCCTGATTTGCCAGCTCAGATGACAAGCTGACAAACTAGACAAGCTGATAAACTAGGCGCTTTTTGTGCTTTATCCTATTTGATCTTCACAGCAGGCCCAAGGGTGGGGTTCTAGATTCCGGGTTGGTCTATAGATGTGGAAGCTAAAGCTCTGGGAGGTTAAGAAAGTTGCCCCAGGCCACATGACTGGCCAGTGGCAAAGGCTGTTCTCAAACCCCACTCTGTCCAGCTCCAAACCTGCCTTCTTCCCATTGCTATCCTGATCTTGGCTCAGGGCTGGAGGGAGCCGCAGGTGTGGGACCCAGGAAGTGTTGCCTGACCTATGGTGGGACTAAGGCCCCCCATCCACTCATCCACTCTTTGCCCGCACACTAAGAACACAGTTGGGGGTGGAGAGAAGAGCCCGGATCTTCCTCCCAACAAGTCGAGGGTTCAAATCCCTACACCAACTGGCTGTCACTCAACCCCTGTACCTCAACTGCTTCATCCACAAAACAAAGATAAAGGGACCTGCCCCCGGGGATATGGAAAGGATTAAATGAAAGCATTTAGGAGGTGGCAAGTACGAAACCAAGGGTGGTGGTTGTTCCTAATCTATAAGAATGTTTAGAGCAACAGGCTGAAGGCCTGGGGATCCTTGAATCTAGAATCTTCTAAGCGACAGTTCTTGCCCTGAAGGAACTTGCCTTGCAGTAAAAGTGACCAGACTAAAAGAATGTAATTAGGGTTGCCAGGTAAATTTTGCATAGGACATACTTATACTAAAAAATAATTCATTGTTTTTCTGAAATTCAAATGTAACTATATTTTTATTTGCTAAGTCTGGCAACCTGAAATATACTACACAAGAATAAAAGCAAATGTGAAATTGTGTGGCACACACTGCAGGAGGGCGGCCCGTCCCACGTGGTCCGGGCACAGGTGAGTGGTCCTGCAGGGGCCCTGGCTGGGCAGTGGGCTTGCAAGACAGGGCCATATCACTTATGCGCGACTCGGAGATGTTTACTAAGGGCCGATGGGGTGCCGCGTGCCAACTGAGGCTTGCACATTTCTGGCTTTTTCTGCTCCCAGTACCCTGCTATGGAGTCAGCTGGCTTCTTGGCGGGCCACTCTCTCAAGTTCCTTTCAGGGTCTGAGGAGGGATGCCGGGATGATGCCTCGCGAGGATACCCTGGTCATCGCTTCACTGATGTGTAAAGTGACAGGGCCTTCGTGTTGCCTGAGCCCATGCACCGCAAGCCTCTGCATGCTCCACCTCTCTGGCCTTTGGGGGTGGCCATCTCTGCCTCCTTGGCGCTCTCCTTGCCTCACCTCTGAGTCCCTTCCTTCCAAGTCTGTCCTTTCCAGAGGCCAGGTGATGGGCACCGTGTCACCTCTGAGCCTCAGTTTTCCTCCCATAAAATGGGGTACGGAGACCTGGCTCCCACTCACCATGTGACCAGGGACCAGAGCTCGCCCTCTCAGTGATTCAGCACCCCCTTCCTTTAGTGGGGTGAGTAAGCCCCATACCTATCCTCCTGCCGGGGCACTGATACGCCGGAACCATAAAATGCCCAGGGGCCTTGAGAGACGTGAGCTTGGCTGGCTGAGTCTGGAGTCTCAACGCCTTTGTCATCAAGGTTGTGACCAGAAGGTGCAGGCTTGGCAGAGTCCCCCCAGGAGCACCCCAGGCCTTGCCTTGCCACCCTACAGGAGGACCCACTATTCAAGTGACAAAAAGCCTATGGGGTGCGGGGGATGGGGAGATGCAGGCCAGAGGACACAGAGCAGCAGACATGTAGGATGAACAAGTCTAGAGACCTGATGCACAACATGAGGACATTACACGCGGGTAATAACACTGTACTGTACACGTCTGGAATTCGTCCTAAATGAGTATCTTTTAGCTTCTCTTGCCACAGAAACAAAAAAAAAGGCTAACTATGTGAGATATGGATATGTTAATTTGCTTCACTATGGTAACCTTTTTACTGTCTATATGTATTCCATAACATCCTGTAGACCTCATACATACATAATAAAATTTATTAAAATCAAACAGAAAACCTGCCAGTGGGGAGTCTTGGAGGCCTGGTGGTCTTTGGCAAGCACACATGGTGTTGGTGTGAGGATTTTAGGTGCACAAAAAAGAGGCTCTGTGTAGGCCCCTGCTCTCACCTCTCGGCCACTTGTCACCAGCTATCCAGGTGTGGGGAGGGGGAGGGGGGCACACTGTGAAGAGGCCCACCCCTCCTCCATGCCTGCTCCCCCTCTTCCCTGGAGGGGCACCCCATCCCCTGCTGGCCCAGTCCTCTGGCTCAGCTCACGCTGTCCTCACCCAACAGCCCCACCTGGCGCACCTGCCCTCATTAATCCTGACCTGCAACTAGCCAAGGGTGTCTGGAACTCCTCCCTGCCAGGTCAGCCTGCTCCCCCGAGAACGCACCCCCCAGGGTACACACCGAGCCCAGCCCCAGCTTCCCTGTTCCAGACGCTCTGTACCTGTTTTGGGGGGTGGGGGGAGGCGGTTAGAACTGGATTAAACCCCGCCCCCTGCCCGTGGCCCCGGGAGCTTGGTTTCTGTTTGCACACCATCTTGGAGCCTGGAACCGTGAAGCTGCCCGGCCCTTCACAGCCTGGGGCCGGCCCCGCAGGAGAGCCCCAGGCTGACCCCAGGGAGCAGGGAAGAGTGACCGGCAGGCAGGGAGGGGCCCAGGCTGTGCCCTGGGGTTCTGAGTGGGATGGGAGCCTGGGTCCCGGGCTGGAGGAATCCGGAACTAGGGTCTGGCGGGCTTCCTGGAGGAGGAGACGGAAGAGCGGGGACGAGACAGCGAGGGGGGACTCCCTGCTCCTTTCTGGCCGTGCTGCGGGCCAGCGCAGCAGGAGGGCGCGCTCCCGACCAGGGGGCGGGCTGGAGCCGAGCACGGCTGGAGACGCAGGCGGCCCGCCGTGCGAGGGCCTCGCTGTGCGCGCGGTCCCGGCTGCGCTCTGGGTCCTCGGTGGCCGGTGGCCACGCCCCCGTGGGCGGGGCGCAGGGCGGGGCGCGCGAGGCCGCCCGGCCGGTTCCTCTGCGTTCCGCGGCGGCGGCGGCGACGGCGACATGGAGAGCGGGGCCTACGGCGCGGCCAAGGCGGGCGGTTCCTTCGACCTGCGGCGCTTCCTGGCGCAGCCGCAGGTGGTGGCGCGCGCCGTGTGCATGGTGAGCCCCGGGGGAGGACTGGACGCCGCGGGGACACCTTCCGCGCCAGTCCCGGGGGGGCCGCGAGTCTGCGGGCCCGCGGGCGCGACAGGTGGCGACGACTGCGCGTCCCGGGCCTGGCAGTGGAGTGGGGCCGGCGTCCGGCGTCCCGGCGCCGCCTTCCCTCCTTCTACGTCCTGGGTTGCACCGTCCCCTCCCGTCCGCCCCCCGCACCCGGCCCCTGCCGCCTACCCCACTCTCCGGTCCCTGCCGCGGGTCCCGTCGCCTACCCAACTCCCCGGTCCCGGCCCCGCCGCCCTGGCGCGGGGTGTCGGGAGGCGCCGCGGGGCTCAGGCCCTCGCCCGCTGGCAGCGGAGTGGGAGGAGCCTGGGCACAGCTCCTGGACAGGTGGCCCGCACGCCACGACTCCCAGCTTGGGGAATTCACCAGGAAGGGGCTTTCCGAAGCCACGTGGGGTGCGGGGTGTGGGGCGGCCTCGCGCCCTGAAACAAGGTCTCCTTCCTATTAAGGAGCAAGCCAGGGGTCTGCTTCCCCACCCAAGATTGAGTGTCCCCAAGGCGTACCCCCTCCCCATAAGCGGGGCAAGCCCTTCAACGCTAGGCTGGGGTCCACGTTCTTGGACAACCAGCGCTGGAAGCTGGACAAGGTGTCAGAAGGGAACAAGCGGAGGGTGTGCCTGCTGTGCCCGGACCATGTCTGAGCCCCGAGCCTCTGAGGTGCCCCCATGGTACCCACACCCCCTCCCAGCCTGGCTGTGGGGTCTGACAGCCTCTGTCCTGGGCTGTGCCCGAGGAACAGATGCCCAGTGGGTCGGGACAGCAGTGCCAGGAGTCTTGGATGGGCATCCTGCTCCCAGCATCCCGGAGTTCCGGCTTCAGTTCCAGCTGGGGGTGGGGCTTGTGACTGTGCGCTCCAGAACCCTGTGCAGTGCCCTGTGCGGCAGGGGCAGGGGTCCCTCCTGCATGTGCTGAGGTAGGGTAGGCCTTGAAGTTTCGAGAGGTGGCAATGGGGCTGTTTCTAAGGGGTGGACTCCCCCACCCCTACCCCGGGTCCTCCAGGGGTCTGTGTTCATAGCTGTGTCCATAGGCCTGCTGGTCAGACGCCCACTCACCATGTGACCTGGGGCCAGGCGGGACCCACTGGGGCGCTGAGACAGACTGGGGCTCTCATGGGGGGACCAGGATGCCGAAGAGGCCGGAAGACCCTGTATGAAGCTGGCCAAAGTGGGGAGTCCAGCCTGGACTGGGGGTGGGGAGAGTCGGAGGGTACAGAGGCTGAGAGGGGGCTCCAGGAGGTGGGAGCCCCAGGGGCACGAGCATGGCTTTCCTGAGGTGCTCCCCAGGGTGTTCAGGCAGAGGTTGGGCCCTATAGAGGTGACTCGGGCAGCAGGTGATGGGATGGGGGGGTGAGACCCCAAGCTTGGGTTTCTGTGACTTTGTGGCCCCTCTTGTTTAAAATTGGTTCAATAGGCCAGGTGTGGTGGCTCATGCCTGTAATCCTAGCACTCTGGAGGCCGAGGAGGGAGGATCACTTGAGGTCAGGAGTTCGAGACCAGCCTGAGCAAGAGTGAGACGCCATCTCTACTAAAAGTAGAAAAAATTAGCTGAGTGTGGTGGCACGTACCTATAGTCACAGCTACTCGGGAGGCTGAGGCAGGAGGATCACTTGAGCCCAGGAGTTTGAGGTTGCTGTGAGCTAGGCTGACGCCACAGCACTCAAAAGTAGAAAAAATTAGCTGAGTGTGGTGGCACGTACCTATAGTCACAGCTACTCGGGAGGCTGAGGCAGGAGGATCACTTGAGCCCAGGAGTTTGAGGTTGCTGTGAGCTAGGCTGACGCCACAGCACTCACTCTAGCCCAGGCAACAGAGCAAGACTGTTTCAAAAAAAAAACTGGTTCAATGAAGGTGTCAAAAACCCCAAAAGACAAACTCCCCAAACTGGTTCAAAGTGGGGGTGGGTGATTGCCCTTCCTCCCCTCAGGTTCCCAAACAAGGTGATCCCTGCAGGAGGCAGCTGGGGGGGGCGGTCCACTAAGGTCCCATCCACCCCCCTTGTGATGGGAGCGTGATCTGGTAGCGCACCAGGAAGCAATCTGCTCATCAGCTCAGTCTGCCAGTTCAGAGGGGCTAAGATGCCAGCCTCTGAAAGGGGACAGCAGTAGTGGAGGCAAGTGTCCCCTGGCTCGGAATCCCAGGAGGTGTCCCTGCTGTGTGCCCCATAGGGGTCTGTCTGGCGCCACGAAGCCCTACCGGCCCCTCCTCTCCTGCAGGTCTTCGCCTTGATCGTGTTCTCGTGCATCTTCGGCGAGGGCTACAGCAACACCCACCAGTCGAAACAGATGTACTGCGTGTTCAACCACAATGAGGACGCCTGCCGCTACAGCAGTGCCATTGGAGTGCTGGCCTTCCTGGCCTCGGCCTTCTTCTTGGTGGTCGACGTGTATTTCCCCCAGATGAGCAACGTCACTGACCGCAAGTACCTGGTCATTGGCGACCTCCTCTTCTCAGGTAGCCGCCTGTGGCACCTATGTTTGAGCTTGGGAGGTGAACAGGAGTGGGAGGTATCAGCTCTAGGCTTCTGAGATCGACGGGCCCCGTGGGAGGAACTGGGAGCAGCTTGGGGTCCCCAGCCCCACTTGAGTGGACAGGCTTTGCCAGTGTCCCTTTTATTCCCTGGGCTGGCACGTAAGGATTTCTGAGCGTCTGCTGAAAGCCACTGGTGTTGAGGCATGAGTTCGGGGCTTGGGAGCCAGGCCTGCGGGGGTGGAGTCCCTGCTGAGCCCCCACCTGGTCGTCCCTCCCGCCTCTGTGGAGTGCGCATCCCCAGGGCCCTGGGAAGCCCCTGCTCCTCCTGGAGCTAAGCCCGCCTGTCTTCTCCCCAGCTCTCTGGACTTTCCTGTGGTTTGTTGGTTTCTGCTTCCTTGCCAACCAGTGGATAGCCACCAAGAAGGAAGACGTGCTGGTGGGCGCCGACTCTGCCCGGGCAGCCATCGCCTTCAGCTTCTTTTCCATATTCTCTTGGGTAGGTGGGCCTGGGGCGAGCAGGTTTGTGGAGTCCCGAGGTCCCCTTCCCCCTGCACCCCTCTTCCCTCCCTAACTCAGGCCTTGGGGCTCCCTGCAGGGAGTGCTGGCCTCCCTGGCCTACCAGCGCTACAAGGCCGGCGTGGACGACTTCACCCAGAACTACGTGGACCCCACTCCGGACCCCAGCACAGCCTATGCCTCCTACCCGGGGGCACCCGTGGACAACTACCAGCAGCCGCCCTTCACCCAGAGCGCCGAGACCACCGAGGGCTACCAGCCGCCCCCTGTGTACTGAGGAGCAGCGGGTGGGAAGGGGACAGGGAGCACTGGGCCTTCCCTGCGCCCTGGACTTTCCCCACGTGGCCTGCCCCCGGGAGCTGCCAGCCCCTCCCCAGTGCCTGCTGCAGCTGACACGCAGCTAAAGACCCCCAAGTGCTGTGCCCAGAGGGCTTCCCAAGCACCCACTCACTCACTCAAGGGCATTTTTTAGAAGAGGGTTTTTACTAGATGGGTTTCCTCATTGCTTTAAACGACCCCAGCCCTGCTTGGAGCAGCTAGAAGTGGGAAGGTGCCCCCTGTGCTATTTCAACAAGTGCCTTAGCTTCTCCCCCAGTGCGAAGGAGCAGAGCCCAGGCCAAGGCTGCGGCAGCCACAGTCACGGGGGTTCTCTGCCAAAGACAGAGGTTGGGGGCCTCGCGCCTGTCTCCTGCTGCTGGTGCTGGGCTCTGGCTCCCAGCCTCCTCCTCACTCAGGTTTGTTTCCCACACCCCGCTGCCCCTGCCTGGCCTTGGGCTGGGCCTCGTGCTCACTGCTGTTTGGTCTGGGGTCACTACCCTATGCCAGTGCCCTTGCGCTGCCTTCCAAGGCACGGGAGCAGGGCTGCTGCCCTTCTTGCTCCCACCCCCTGGCGGCAGGGAGGGGCTTTGCCTGACAACACCCAGCTTTATGTAAATATCCCGCCATTGCTCGTTACCCTGGGGAGGGGCAGGGGCTGTGCGAACGTATTATAAAGCCTTGGAGAAGATGCGCTGCCCTCCCTCGATGGATTCTGCTAGACGGCTGGAGATGGAATAAATGTTTTTTCTCCATTGTCATTGGCTGGGCCTTAGCCTTGGGATGGGAGGAAGAGATTCCGCTCTGCGAACACCCCAGAGGGGTGTTGACGGCCAGCTTTATGGAACTCGTGTTTTGAACAAAGCAGTGGCAGCCCCTCCCCAGTCTGGGGTCTCATTCCTACAGGCCTTTCATCAGCGTCTTAAAATAGCAACTGTGCTCAGCTTGTAAACAAGATGATTTTTCTGGATCGCCTTGCCAGAGTCCTGTTCCCTCCCCGGAGTTGGGGGAGGGCACCTGGGAGTTGCTCCTCTCACAGCAGAGTGAGGGGTGCCGTGGGGGTGCCAGGTTTCCACTTTCCTCCAGGGCGCAGCACCTCCGGGGCCCTTCCCGGGCGGTGGTGTTGAGAGCGCTTGGCTGTTCAGCCCAGCCCTGAGCACGCCAGCCCGTCGCTGGCAGGAGAGGCCGGGGCCCCTCAAGCAACTCTAGCTTCCCCTTTTGAGCAATGGCAGAGGGCGCTGTCAACAGCAGGCCCTCGTAGTTTCAAAATCCTGAGTGCGAAGAGTAGGACCCAATTCCGGAATTACAGGCCTTACTGCTCCAAGAGACCCCACAGCTGTGGCCTGGGGCAGATCGCCAGCAAATGGGGGTGTCGCCAAGGAGAGCAGCGGGGAGGCCATCTGGGAACACGTGGGCAGGCACCTGGTCTGAGCACCGACCCCCCGCGGATTCCTGCCTCCGAGCTGCCAACAGCCCACTTGCCGAAGCACAGCTGAGCTGCATCTTCTTGGCTCCTCAATTATCAAGCGTCTGTTTCACAAACAAAACCTGACCGCGCAGCCCCAGCTGGCAGCGGGACAGCAGCCTCCGCGTTCCAGCCTTGCCCCGGACGGGAAGGTAGGTGAGCGGACGGGAAGGTAGGTGAGCGTTCCTCCTAGGACACACTCCGTGATCATTTCTCAGTTACAAGAGGGGGTGTGGTGGTTAAGAGATCAGTAGTACTACAGAAAGATCTGCAAAATAATCCCCACCCAAATCACATCAGAGCCGTCCAAAATGAGACCCAGGAAACCCTATTTAAATGCACTTTCACCAACTAGTGAATTTTAATATTACTTATTAATTCCATACACTACAGCAGAAGCACGGGGCCTGCCCCCAGCAGGGTCAGTGCCACCAACGTGAAAGCTGCTGCAGTTCTGGAGAAAGCCACCAGCAGAGTGTAGGAAGTGGTTTTAGCCCAAAGGGAGCAGGAGGGCATGAGTCCGGGCCATCCCCGGAGGGTGGGAGCCCGTCCGGGCAGAGGGCTGAGGCTCAGAGTGCTGGTGCCCAGACTTCCCAGGGAGAACAGAAACTCAACAGTGAAAGCCACAAAGGGGGAAGAAGCCAGCAGCGCTGACATCACAACAGCATGTGGCTCTGCTCCGCACCCCAGAGGAGGAGGGGTGGGTCTGCAGCAGCTAGACCCTGGGCCTGCCGCAGGCCAGCTCCAGCCTGGGGCGGATCATCCCAGCGGCCGGGAAGGGAACCAAGACAGGGCCGGTGGGCAGGCAAGGAGGGACATGTGACGTGTGGGGCAGCCTCAGAAAGTCCCCAGGCACGGTAGCCCTCCCTGACTTCCTCCCCAGCAGGCCACACAGCAGGCTGGGCACAGGCGTCCGCTAGGCGGCAGCAGGAGCAGGTGGCCCGTCTCAGGCCGCCTCAGTTGACAGGGCTGCACTGCAGGATCTGCTGAGGGGCAAAGAGCTTCCTGGTGGCCGCCTCCCCCGGCCTTCCCAGCACCGGGCAGTTCTCTTTGTTGTCCGGCCCAGTGGGCTGGCCCGAGGCCTTGAAATAGCAGAGGCGACACACAGAGTGGTACTTGTCTGCTCCACCGATCACCTCGACCTGGCCACAGGGACACAGAAAGGACGTGAAGGGCCTGGACTGGGAAGGAGGCAGAGCTGTGTCCCTGCCCGCCCCGCAGGGGAGAAGGCAGGTGGAGCTACCTCTTTCTCCGTGCCCAGCCTCTTGGTGTAGGCGGCTTCCCGGAAGCACTCCATGCACACCGCGGTCAGCTTCACCACGCTCTCGGCCAGGGGCACCAGGTTCAGGATGGCCCCGAAAGCCTGCACTCCCGTGGAAAGACAGCCCCTGCACTCAGTCACCTCGCCGGGCAGGTTTCTCTTTTAAACCCTCTGATTCATAAGCACTGAAGCCAGGAAAGCTTGCCTTGACTTTGGTCCCCAAAAGAGCACCAAGTCCTGCTCTGTCCCTTTGCCAGCTCAAAGCACCTGCCACAGCAGATGGCATCTGGTCTGGACAGACTCACTCCTGGGCAGACCGGGGAGTCCCTGGGCTTAGGCAAGGCCTGGTCTGAGCTCAGGTGTGCCCCTTAGTGGCGAGCCCAGGTCACCCAGGGAGTGCCACGTTGAGACGGGGAAGAGCGTGCTGGGCTGGTGTCTTTGTGCACAGCCCTGCACCCGCCGAGAAGCCCCTTCTTCCAATCCCACCCAAGACCTGGATGAGACCCCTTACCTTCCTCTGGAAGGTCCCGTCCAGTGCGGCCACGATCACGATCTTCCCGGCGTTGGCCATGGTCTCACTGAAGTCCACGATGTCGGGGAACTGGGGAGGGCGGGTGGAGGAAGCGTGTGAGCGTCTACCTGAGCAGCTCGCTGAGCCTCAGAGAAGATGCTGCCGGATCCGACAACTGCAGCCACTTGGATTAGCCTGGAGCGACTCTAATGCTCCCATGTCTACTAGAAAAAAGATAAACTAAGACAAAAATGAGTGGAAGCCCTAAACAGGCAATTTGCAGAGGGAGAAATAAATATAAGTAGCTGATAAAATGCGGGAAAAGGTGTTGGCCTTGCTGGTCTCACCACTGCCCTGTGGCCCCTACCATCCGTCCATTCTCGGCCTCCGCCATCAGATTGGGCCACCCTCGACATCCTATGTCTCCCCCAGGGTTAAGCCCAAGCCTTTCCCAGGCACCTGGCCCTGGCCACCTCTCCACCTCACTGGCTCCCACAGGCACATTCCTGCCCCGGGCCCTGCTTGCAGCACCCAGATTCTTGCCAGCTCCAGGCCCATAAAGCATCCCCCCCACCTTAACTCTGTGCCCCTCACGCTGCCTTTTCCTCTAATTTATAGCAGTTGTCACCACCTGACATATTACATACTTTCTCCCCCAGCTGGAGTGTAAGCTCAAGGGCGCGGGCTCAGGTTCTTATCCCCAGTACCTAGAATGTTGCTGCCGTAGGGTGCAAGCTTAAAAAACTGACTGAATGAAGGAGATTGGCCCCTGGCCTACCATTCCACTCAGCAGGTGCGTCCCCGTGCACCGGGCAGTTGCATCAGGCAGTAGCATAAGACGTCTGTGAGTCTAAACGCCATAGACAAGGAAGCTTAAACGAGACATGGTGTATGCATGGGGATGGGTATTTGTGGACATGGAAAAAGGGCCACAGCGTGTGATAGGAGCCTGAACTATTAAAAAAATACACATATAAAGCCAACACGTTATGGGGTTTTTGTTTGTTTTTCTGGATGGGGAGAAAGAGTAGAGCAGCCCCGGCAGCCAGCAGCTGGCCTGGCACTCAGGGTGGGCCCTGGCTTGGCGGCACGTCATCAATGTCACAGAGGACCACCATCAGGCAAGGGCAGTCTGTGACCAGGAGTCAAGACGAAAACGAGACTCCTCCATAATTATGTCTGAGCATTGTCTGAGCCAGAAAGCAGCAAACACCCCCTCTCCTGGCCGAGGAACGTGCTGCTGCGTCAGCCTGGTTCTCACCTGCCCTCCCCGCGGAGAAGGCTGAAGGTACCGAATCACCTTCCCCCGGGCGCCTGCCCAAGAGCACGGCCTGCCTCGCACACCCTCCGCAGAATGACCACAGCAGCCAAATCCCAGAAGCCCTATCTCACCCTCCCCACGGTGCCCCAAGGAGCACGTGAGTAAACCCAAGCAGGTGAACAGGAATAAACCCAAGTGAGGGAGGTTCCTGGTGGTCTCTAGAAAACTGACTGTGGTAAATCGTGGACTTTTTTTTCTTATGTATATTCCCAACTTCTGTTACTGGTTGAACATCCCTAATCCCAAATGCTCCAAAATCTGAAATTTTCTGAGCACTACTGACACGAAGTGGAGAATTCCACACCTGACCTCGTGACAGGTCAGTCAACACTTTGGTCCATGCACAAAATTATTAAATGTTGTATAAAATCACCTTCAGACTATGTGTATAAAGTCTATATAAAACATAAATGAATTCTGTGTTTAGACTTGGGTCTCATCCCTAAGATATCTCATTATATACATGCAAATATTCCAAGATCTGAAAAAATCTGAAATCCTAAACATTTCAGATCCCAGGCATTTTGGGTAAGGGATATTCAACCTGTATTACTTGTGTAGTAAAACAGAAATAAAACACAAAAACTGTTTTTAAAAAAAATCATAGCTTCCAGTATTGCCAAGCAACCCTGCTGTGTAGCTGGTTAAAGAACACGTACGTGGGGCAGACCCAGGGGCCAGGGTGCCCACCCGCCACCAGCACCTTAAGCAGAGCGCTCTCAGCCTGTGGCCGCAGGATCTCCAGATGAATCGCTTCCCAATGCCAACAACTCCTACAAAGCAGCTGCGTGCTGCTGTGCCTTGCCCAGGGGCACAAGTAAGCACTGAAGCTCCAACCCCGGCATTCCTCAGGAGGGCGTGGCGGCTGCCCTGCTAAAAGCCTTTCCTTCCCTGCGGACCCAGAACACAGGCAAAGCTTGGCTTCGTTCACTGTCCATGCACAGGGTAAAGTGGGCTGGGGCAGTCCTTTTGCTGGGCCCCGTGTCAGGAGCTCGCCTCCTTGATCCAGAACTTCTTGCGACAGGAAGATTCTGACCGTGTCGAGAATAAGGGCCCGCAGGGGCGAGGGCAGAGCGGGAGAATGGTGATGTTTGCATAGTGGGTATAATAAACACCCGCTGAATGAACTCAAGTTATATTTGCTTGCAAGGGAGGAAGTAGACAAATAAATCCCTCCTCCAGGTTACAACAGGGAGCAGGACTTGGTTCACTTGTTCCTGGGCATTTGGACGTAAACCAACGAGAAGTAAGAAGAGAAAGGTCCCTACCTAGGGTGTCTGGGTCGGCCTCTGCAAACGAGGTTTACGTAAAGCCAGGAGAGCAGAGCTGTGGGGCAACTCGCAGCAGCAGGTCTGAAGGGAGCGCCTCCCCAGTCGAAGCCTCCGCGCTCCGAGAGGGCCATGCCCCAAAAGGTGATGCAGTAGCCCCGGATCCATTCGGAGACCACAGTTTGGAAGAGAAAGGGAAGAGCTGTAACCTCATTCCCAACCTGGGCTCACCATTGGGAACGGTGAGCCTAGCAGTCCCTCCACGTGTGCAGACCCAGGGGTGCTCAGGGGCACACCTCTGAGGATCCGAAATGGAATGGGCACACCCACGGCAGGGAGCAGGTGTCAGCTGCCGGCTGGCCTAGAGCCCATCTCCACGAGGGAGACACCCCACACGGTGCAGGGGACCCATCAGCCTCCCGTGGGAATGGAGTTTGGGGCTGTGATTCATCGAGGATGTTGGGCAAGAACAGGGCCAGAAAGGCAGGACTGGCTTTGGGGGACAGGACCTGTTCCGTCCCTGTAGGATATTACAGTCGGAGCCACCTGATTCTGTACTGGGAGGCAGGGCAGGCAGAGATTCCTAACCACTCACCAAACAAATTTCTTCTCCCTCCCGGGTGTAGAGCTAGACGAAATGTACAGCTGGGCGGCCGTGTGCCCAGGTTCCAGTCTTCGGGTCAGCAGAGGTGATGTGTACAATTTCCAGCCTAGCCCAGGACAACCTCACACCCAGGGGATGCACCACGTCTGTCCCCTCCTGCCATCTGGATGCAGCCACCCAGGGCGATCACCGATGCCATGTGCTGACGGTGGTGAGCCTCTGGGGCCCGCCTGCCCGTCAACTGATGTGGAACCACACAGGAGTAGGTGAGTGAGAAATAAATCCCCATTGCGTTGTATACTTGTATCAGATCATCACACTGTATACTGAACATACTCACTCTTTATTTGACAATTAAATATTTCTAAAACGATTTCTATCATGTTAGATAGAACAGGCCAATTTGGGGTGTATTTGTTATGGCAGCTCTTCTTGCCCTCCCCAGTGTACTAGGGGCAACCCTAAAACTGCCTGAGGGGTTAAGTGAGCTCAGCCCCTTCGAGAATGGGTTTTAGTTTCATTCACTCACGATAAACTGGCAAAAACAAAAAACTCCAAAGCACGGGACAGAAATTAAGACCACAAAAGACAACCAACAAACTCAACCAGAGAATGTGCTCATACAGAAATGGAAAGAGTTAGCTGCAAAAGACTGAAACAAGATTTTTGGAAAACTACTGGAAGGAATAGCGTAAGTTAAAAAAATAAATAAATAAATTGTTAAACAAAAATGAGTATTCTGAATTAGAGTAGAAAATATAAAAATAGAGTTATTGAACACACTTTGGAAAACAGTACCCAGAGGGATGAGAAGAGACATTTGAAGTGATAATGGCTTAATTTCCTTCCCAGAAATGAAAAGACCCACCAAATACAAAAACTATAAATAAGAGCAAAATCTCCCCTGGACACATTGTTCTGAGACTAGACCGATTACCTGCCCAGGGAGTGACCACTGGACTGATAGCAGCCTTCCCCTTACTTTTCAAAGCAACCAGCTCAACCTAACATCTGCTACCAGCTCAAACTGGAAGACAAAATGAAGACATTTTCATGCAAAGATTGGCAGAGCTTCCAAATAAACCCGTATGGAGCAAGAGCAAGCAAAACCAACAATGAACCAAACAAAAACACCCCTATGCACCAGTATTGAGAAATCTGTTTTTCCACTGTAAATATTTTTTTCTAAAAAAGGTAAAATATATCCTATATGACAATAACATGGAAAGCAGCAAGGGGAATTCAAAGAGTGTTCAGACACTGGTTGAAGCAACTTAACCTTGTTACTTTTACTAAAAGATCTGAAATAGAACTGATAACTTCCAAACCAGCAGGGGGAAAGCGGGCACAGAGAGGGAGCTCATAGGAAGAACGAGGCCAGGCCAGGCCAACTTACAAACTGCCCTTCATCGATGCCTATGACTGCCACGCCCAGGGCCTCCTGGGCCACGTCCCGGAGCAGGCAGGCTGGCAGCGCCTCCATGGTGTTCCTGGGAGGAAGAAGCCAGAGCATGAGCAAGGCAGACCGGGAGACCAGACACCGGCATGGGGGGGCCGGGAACAGCTATTGGCCTTGCGGAGCTTTGAGAAGCTAGCGCCTATGGAAAGGGAGCGAGGAGAACAAAGGCCCTTGTTCAGAAAACCAGTTATTTAATACAAGCTATTACACTTGATGCTTCAGACTAGAAATTAGCAATGTCCAATATAAAGCTCAACAGAGACTCAAAACCTCTCCTATGCTTCTGTCCAGACAAGGCCGACACGGGGGCAGAAAAGGCAGACTTCCTCATCAGGCATAGCGCCCAGGGCCCGTGATACCGTTAGGAGCCAGCAAAGTGCTTTCATTTCTTCTAAAATTCATAAGAATAAGTAAATATAACTTGATCTGCATTATATTTGTCTTTATATCAATGCTGTCATAAAATATAATTAAAAAAAAAAATTTTTTAGGCCGGGCGCGGTGGCTCACGCCTGTAATCCTAGCTCTCTGGGAGGCCGAGGCGGGCAGATTGTTTGAGCTCAGGAGTTTGAGACCAGCCTGAGCAAGAGCGAGACCCCGCCTCTACTAAAATTAGAAAGAAATTAATCGGCCAACTAAAAATATATACAAAAAAAATTAGCCGGGCATGGTGGCACATGCCTGTAGTCCCAGCTACTCGGGAGGCTGAGGCAGGAGGATTGCTTGAGCCCAGGAGTTTGAGGTTGCTGTGAGCTAGGCTGATGCCACGGCACTCACTCTAGCCCGGGCAAAAAGAGTGAGACTCTGTCTCAAAAAAAAAAAACAAAAAAAAAATTTTTTAATGGAGGAAGGGGTCCATGCAGGCAAAGTGTCCAGAATCAAAGAAAGCCCCACCCAACTCAGCTACTTGGGAGGCTGAGGCAGGAGGATCACTTGAGCCCAGGAATTTGAGGTTGCAGTGAGCTGTGATGACACCACTGCAGTCTAATGACAGAGACTCAGATGGGGCTGGCCCTGGGCAGTCCATTAACACCAGACTCCTGACAGACCATGAGAGCCCTGCCCCAGCAGAGATAAGCCTGGAGCCCCAACCGGCTGAACAACGACATAGAAAAATTCCTGTTTGGCCTGTTTGGCTCCCCCATTAAAGGATTTTTTCCACAGTCATACAGCTACTAACTGGCAAAACCAGGATGCAGTTAGTGTGATTCCAGGATGGGAGTGTGGATCTGCGGTCATGCAGCCTCCTGGCCTGCAGGGAGAATCCTACCCAGCAGAGTTTGAAGGTGAGAGGTGGTAAAAATGTTTCAGTGCCATTAAATGAAACTTTGAACCCCACCCTATCCCCATAGCCAGGGCCTTTTTTTTTTTTTTAAGACTTGAGGGTCTCACTATGTTGCCCAGGTTGGTCTCAAACTCCTGGTCTCAGGCAATGCTCCCGCCTCAGCCTCCCGAGTAGCTGGGATTATGGTCACACACCCAGGACCTTTTCTGAAGAGGAATGCTGTGCTGTGTCCTCTGCCTTTCTAAATAGCTTCTGTGTTTTCCTACAATGTTGTTTTCTTTTGTTTCCATTTTTGCCTGCTCCTATGAACCAGCCTTCAGAGGAACAGGCAGTTTCCTGAGAGCTCAGCAGTTTGTGGCTGTCTTTACAAAAAATAAAATACTTTACAACTACCGCTTAGTTATTATCTTGCTATAATCCTACTTCAAGATCTGGGAAGAGAATGAAACAGTATTTCATGTGTTTTAAGTCCCCTCTGCCCTCCCCAGATGGAGAAAGCCAGAGAGAGGGCGGGCAGCAAGCCAGCTGTGGCTTCCGCAAGTCTCTGGCGCTGTGTCCATGCCACCAGCCCGCCAGCCTCTGCAGCCTGTCGTGGAGATGAGCCGTGACACATGGGCAGAACTCAGATCTAATCCTAAATTTGAGGTTGCAGTGAGCTATGATGATGCCTCTTCACTCTAGCCAGGGTGACAGAGCGAGACTCTGTCTCAAAAAAAAAAAGCAATGTGCACGCTAAACAAAACCACTTTGCAGCCTCTGTATAGGGATAAACTCTAGAGCAGAGTTTCTCACCCCTGGCAGGCACTACTGACATCTGGGGCTGGATTGTTCTTTGTTGTGGGGTCTGTCCTGTGCACTGCAAGATGGTTAGCAGCATCACCCCTGAGCTCTACCCATTAAAGGCCAGTAGCGTCCCCTCCCCCTCCAGTTGTGACAACTAGAAATGTCTCCAGATATTGTCAGATAGACTGTGGGTGGCAAAATTGCCCCTGGTTGAGAACCACTGGGCTAGAGCCCCGTGAACGGCGGGGTCCTCAGCTGCCTTGCCAGGCACGCTGGAAACTTTGCTGATTTGAACTGTTCAATGCCAGGCCTCAGCACTATTTGCCACCCCCACTAAAGAGAGCTCTGACCGGGTGTCCTGTGCCTGGAGAGGACCAAAGGGGCAAGGACTGACCTGTCATGTGTGCAGAAGCTGTTGCTGTAGCGAGTGTCTTTGGCATATTTGATGACCAGGCACTCGTACTGGGCAATCTGGAAGCGACGGACCCGTCTCATCAGCTCTGAGCTGCAAGAGTAGAGGGTCTGGTGAGGCCCACGGCAGGATCGAGGGCGAGGAAGGCCCCAGGGCACAAGCTGGGCTCCCCGGCGCCCCCTCGTGGTGTACAGCCTGAGCGCCCCCTGACCTCCCAAAGCGCAGAGAGGCAGCCGGGCACATGTACTGGGTATAATACTCCGGGACCGGGGTTGGAAGTCAGAGTCCTGTACGGGGAGGGTGGCCAGGAATGGCCCTCAGGTGACCCCAGGAAGGGTGGGAGGAGTAAGTTTTTCAGGGATGCGGGGGGGAAGGTGGCCAACAGAGACAAAGGCCACGTGCAGAGGGTGCCTGCAGATCGCATTCCAAAGTAATCTCATCACAGAATTGTTCAAAGAGCTCAGGGCTTTTCTAAATTAACCTCACAAGGCTTTTGTGGGCAACATTCAAAGCCCTTGTTTCTGGGTCCAAGAAATCCAACCCTGAGCCTCACCTCCTGAGCAAGGGGTTTGGGGTGCGGGGCTTACTCAGGGGGGCTCACCAGCCTCGCCTCAGTCAGGGAGTGGTTCTCGGCCCACGTAAGGAGACTGTCACAGTGAAAGGGGGTGTACAGACGTGCCCGGCCCTGGTGACACGACTGGCCCCCTTCCGAGAGGGCCGATGCGGGGGCGGAGGGGGGTGACCAGCTGGGGCGGTACCGCGTGTCCACGACCTGGGCGGGGCTTCCTCCGGGACCGGATTTCAGGGGGAGGAGTACCCCAGGCGGGGCCGGGCTGCGCTGAGGGGGATCTCCTCCGAGAAGGGCAGCAGGCGGGGAGGAGGTGGCCCAGCCCCGCCTCGAGAAGCCGTTACCTTTTTCCTGAGAACATGGGCCCGAGAATCACCTAGGAGAGAAGAGGTCACTTCGGGGCCCGCTCCGCACAGATCCGGGAACCCGCCACCGCCCCGACTCGCATCCCCAGTCCCCCAGGCCCCAACCCGCCCGGCGCGCGCACCTGGATCTGCCCCCGGGTCTTGCTGGGGGAGCCAGGCAGCACGGCGGGCAGGCTGATGCAGCTCATGGCGCCTCCGCGAAGCACGCAAGATCCGAGACCCCGCCGCCAGCGCCCCACCGGACAGCGCTTTCCCGCGCCGCCCGCCTTTAAGCATCGAACGCCGGCCAATCGCGAGCCGCCACCCAGGGCCAATCAGTGGGCGCGGTGGAAGATTGGCCCCGCCCACGGGAGAGGGCGGGTTAGCGCCAAGGGCCAGAAGAGCTCTGGGAGTGGGCGTGGCCGCAGGCGGGGCCTGGCCTGAGCCCCGCCCCACCCGCCGAGGATAAAGTGGCTGGCCGCGCGCCGCTGGTTGGACCGCGCGATGGATGTAGTCCGGCTGGGCCGCGGGCCAGAGGCTCCCTGGAAGAGCATGTCTGCAGAGGTAGGCGGGCTGCAGGGAGGGGCGGGCGGCTGGGCCGCGAGCTCAGGTCATTGATGGCATGGGAGCTGATTACTGTAATCAGCTCATTGATTACATTAGAATTCCAAGAAGGAAACTCAGCGGCCTTCTAGATCACTCCTCGGGGCACGTTGAGCGCCTACTGTGTGCCAAGTCAGGAATGCTTGAGCACCATAATCTATTTTACTTCTCGCCGCAGGCGGATTTTTGTTAGCCTGATTTTAAGGATAGAGAGCATGGAAGTCCTGGTTAATATCCACAGGCCCGCAGGCGGTTAGGGGCCAAAGTTTCCGATGTTGAGCTGAGCTTATGCAATGTGTTCCGGGCCTAGCTTGGAAATGACGCAGAGCGCATGGTACGGTACCTGGCACTTGTTATGATTATCATTCGATTATAATTTCCTAACTAGTGTTCCTGCATCTTAGGCAGTGGTTCTTTTTCCAGTCGTAGACAAACTGAAAATCTGGCGAAAGTTATAGATACTGCCCCGGGAAATCATATTCTCTCTCTCTCCCTCTCTCTCCTTATCTCTCTCTCTCTCTCTCTCTCTCTCTCCCTTTCTCACACACGCACACACACATGCTTGCCTAGACTATCAGGGGACTCTCAGAAACCAACTGCATTATCATTATCATAAATACTAGGAATAAAGATGACAATAGCAGTCACGGAGTAGGTCAGGTGTGGCTATAAGCATCCTACAGATAATAACCTTGTCAGGTTTAGATTGTAAAGATCCAAGGACCTCTGGCCAAGAGCCCCGTTCAACTAGCGGAGAAGGCAACCCACGCTTGGGTATTTGCCTCTCTTCACTGACGTGCCTTATCTCTGTAACCTTGTGAGGTGGCCAGTATGCCCCTTCTACCGATGAGGGCACTGAGTCCTAGAGACTACCTAACTTGCCCAGGATAAAATAGCCAGGAAGTGATGGTGTTTGGCCTCAGGCCTTTCCACGAGGCCCCCCTGTCTTCAGATATCCCATGATGTTTGTTGGCTTTGAGGCCTTTCTCCAAAACCCCGTTCCTTGTTACTTTCTGCAGTAAGTCTGAACACATATTAAGTCTGACATCCACGGCCCTCCCTCCTCCAGCCCCAGCTTCCCAGTCTTACCAGACTGCTTCAGCATTTGCAAACTGACCTTTGATTCCTTCCTCCTCACTTTTGTGCCTTTGACTGTGCTGGGTCCTCCTGCAGTCAGAATTGCACCCTCTCCAGGAAGATGAGCTCCTTCTTTGCAGGGCCACCTCAGCCGCCTGGCCTCCTGTGGTCCTAGCTGCTGTAGGAGTGGTGCCCACGATGGCATTCACTGGGCACATTTATGGAACCTTGTCTCCCCTTAAGGTGGTTGGCTGGTTAAAGGCACAGCTGTTGCTGGGGTACCTCTAGACCACGGATCTGAGGGCATCTTCGATGTGTCTGAGGCAGCTAATGGGGCACCTTGTGGGAGGAAGGTGGGGAGCAGAGGCTGGAGGTTGGAGGGGATTGAAGGAAGCTGAGGGCATGTTCGAGAGCCTGGAAAACTGGGGAGGGGGCTTCTCAAGGCAGAGAGGAGCATCCAGGCATGCGCAGGGGTGGGGCACACTCTGTGTTGAGAATGAAGGTCTTACAGAGCCTGTGTCTGTGTCCTACAGGAGTTGGAGAATCAGTACTCCCCCAGCAGATGGGTCATCCGACTGGGAGCAGAGGAAGCCTTGAGGACTTACTCACAGATAGGAATTGAGGGTACTGGTGTGACCTCTCCGTGGCCGAGTTGGGTGGCATGGGCCCATGTGGCAGTGGTTCAGAATGCTGGGGGGAGGGAGGAGGTGCTGCACCGCCTGAGTCTTGAGGGCCATTTCCCAGGCACCAGGCGCTTTGTAAGCTTCCCCTGCTCATGGGTGGGTGCCCAGGGCCCCTCGATGCAGGGACCAGTGGAGGCAGGGGAGGCCCGGGGGGAGTCCAGGGCTGGGTTGACCATGCTCGACCTCCCCTCTTGCTCAGCCAACCAGGCCCAGGCCCATGAGGCCACATGCCGTGGTTTCATAGGAAGGTAAAGTGGAAAAAGGAAGATTCCCCCTGCACTGCTGAATGTAGAATGCTGTTGCCATTTATAAAAAGCAATGAAGACTTTTTTTTTTCTTTAATAAAATCAGGGCTTGGGAACCCATAAACTAGTAAAGTCTTAAGAAAAATTTTCATCTCTGCCTTGTGTCTGCAGAGCGCTGCACCATGATTTGAACACTTGGGGAAGTATTTGTTCTGGGTTGGGGAGCAGGCACCAAGGAAGAAGTGTGGTTATGGACACAGCCAGCCTGTGTTTGCTCAGTCAGGAACACTGGGTGTTGGCAAGTCTGCTGTGCTTCAGCAGGCTGAACCAGCCTTTCAGAGGCAGCTGCCTGGGCTCCTGGGATTAGTGGTTTCCTAAACAGAGATAACCCAGGAGGAGGAACAGACTTGTTGGGGATTTCTTCCAGCACATTCCACCATCCCCCTTGTCCCAATAGATAAGGGATAGAGCTGTTTCCTAGGGTCCCTTGCTGTGCCCAACTCTGTGCCAAATACATCTCTATTTGCCCAATAGAGATGGAAGCTCATGTGGTGAAACATACATGACTTTGAAGGAAACCTGTTTGCTGACCTTAATTGTTTTGAGGGGTAAAAGAGCTGACCCCATTGAGAAAGGGATTGGGGTGTAAAAAGCAGGAGCTAAGAGTGTGCTGCCCTGCGTGCTCAGAGACTCTTTAGTAATCTCGGTAAGCCTGGGAGTGCTGTAATTTAACCAGCTTTCACCTGCCTTCCTTTGACTGCGGCTCTGGGAGACAAGGGGTGCTGCAAGGACAGCCGGCCCATTTCACAGATGAGGATGGCAAGCCCGACAGGGCGGGGGTCGGGGAGGCAAGTGAGGCACGTGCCAGGTTGGGGCCTGTCTCTGTTTAAAATTTTTATATTTTGTTCATCATGGATTTTTTGGCATTAATTTTGCTCCTCCCACAGAATCTAAAGTTATCTTTGAGAATTGCATTTCAGAATGGCCCCCAGGTCCTTGAGAAAGACACTCCTAGACTGCAAAACTAGCCAGAGACTTATTTAGCTTTTAAAAATATTTACATCCATCTCAAAGAAGCAGAGAAAAGATTTACAACAGTAACTTTCCTAAAATAAATGCTCTAAGAAAAGGGAGGGGGAAATAAATGCTTCTCTTTTTTTGTACCAGGGAGAAGCAAATTTTTTTCTTATTTTTGGTTTGCGTTCGTCCTTAAAACGTTGATGTGTTAGCTTGCAGTGGGGGATGTTCTCTTCACGGACTACCTTTGTCCCCCACCAAGGCCTGGGTTCCCTTGGCAGGGACATGGGGGACAGAGTCTAATTGCTGTTGAGTAGACAGCAGGAGGAAGACGGCAAAGGGTGGTGTTAAGAACTATTTCCTCTACCAATAGCTTTTAAATTTGTTTCACCATGACCTTCAGTAAACATACACTTTACAATAAATGAAATGCAGTATATATATTTTTTAGAGACGCAAAAGGACAAACACCGTATGATTCCATTTAAATGAGGCTCTTGGCCAGGCACGGTGGCTCACGCCAGTAATCCTAGCACTCTGAGAGGCAAAGGTGGGAGGATAGTTTGAGCTCAGGAGTTCGACACCAGCATGAGCAAGAGCAAGACCCGTCTCTACTAAAAATAGAAAGAAATTAGCTAAACAACTAAAAATACATAGCAAAAATTAGCTGGGCATGGTGGCGCATGCCTGTAGTCCCAGCTACTTGGGAGGCTGAGGCAGGATTGCTTGAGCCCAGGAGTTTGAGGTTGCTGTGAGCTAGGCTGACGCCACAGCACTCTAGCCTGGGCAACAAAGCGAGACTCTGTCTCAAAAAAATAAAATAAAATAAAATAAAAAAATAAATGAGGCTCCTGGAAGAATCAGATTTATAATACAGGAAGTAGGATGGTTGCCAGGGGCTGCAGACCGGAAGGAATGGGGGTTTATTGTTGAATGGGGACAGTTTCAGTCTTACAAGACGAAAAGGGTTCTGCAGTTGGTCACACAATAATGGGAACGTGCCTAATGTCACTGAACTGTACACTTAAAAACGGTTAAGATGGTGAATTTTAGGTATATTTTACCACAATTTAAAAAGTAGTTTACATCCTATTTTAATACACGTGCATACGTTACAAAGGTTGCACAAAACACTTCTTGATGGGGGACACGCTATTTTCTACCGCGTTCTCAGCCTATTTGGTGATCATCGCGTTGCTTGGCAAGCTCCGGTTCGCGACACCGGCAGGTCTGGGCCGTGGGGATGCTGGTGTCGCGCCGCGGCCCCTGTCCCGCAGTGGGAAGTGGGGGGGGGAAGCATTCTCGGGAGGCCCTGGGCAAACTGACCCGCTGTCCCCGAACCGCAGGGCGCGCGGGCTCCGAGATCCACGCGGGCGCCGAGATCCACGCGGGCGCGTGCGTCTCCGAAGGCCCGCGATCAGGCTCCGCCCCGCCCCGGGACAGCCTATGGCCGGCGCGGTGGGCGTGGCCTCGTGATTGACAGGCTCGGGTCTCCGCGGACGCCTACGGCCTTAGTGCGCGGTGTCTGAGGGCGTTTTCTTCTCTTTTAGAAAAACTAAAGGTAGGAAACAAAGGCGTAGGAAATACAAACCCCCATTTTTTTTTCTACCGTGGTAAAATACTCATAACTTAAAAGTTACCATTTTAAAGTTCAGGAGCATTTCGTACATTGACAGCGCTGTGCAGCCGTTGGCACCAGCGAGTTCCAAGTCATTCTCATCACCCCCAGAGGAAACCCCACGCGCGTGCGCGGGCGCTCCCTGTTTCCCCCCCACCCCCGCCCCACGATCCCTTCGCTTTCCGTCGCGCGGGTCCGCCTGTCCCGGACGTGGAACCATGCCATCCTCATGCCATTGTGGCCTTGTGTCTGGTGTCTCTGGCTCAGGGTTTTCGAGGCTCCTCCTTCCTGTGGCATGTATCGGTGCTTCACTCCTTATGACCAAGCTGTAGTCCACCCTTTGTTCACCCCACGGACACTGGGACATTCCCCCCTTTGGCTGTTGGGGGCCAGGCCTCTGTCTTCTCGGACCCTTGCCCCCTGTTCCCAGGGCTGGCAGCCCTTGGCTCCCCGCCTGTGCTGCGCTCCTCCCCTCCTGCTGCAACACACCCCTTTTCTCACTTTGGTTCTCAGGGACGTGGCCAAGAACTCACTGTGACTTGAGCCCCAGACCTTCCGCTCCGCCCTGACCTGGCGCCCAGCCTGTCCAGCTTTGCCCCGGGGCATGGCAGGCGCTCAGGCCAGAGCCACTCTATTCTGCTCAGAGAGGTGAGGTCCCTGAGGCCCCCTTGCTCAAGGGTGGCTCCGGTCTCTGCCCAGCCTCTCCTTCCCAGCCTTCATGCCCCCACCTGATCTTATGTCTCAGGGCCTGTCGCCCTCACTAAGCAGCCAGCCCACGCACAGTGGGGGTTTTGGACTATAGTCACCGCTGTATCTCAGATATCTAGAGCAATGTAGGCCAGTGGCTGATGCTTATGTAAATAATCGTTTGCTAAATGAATTGGAAAACTGGGAGTGATTACCTCTGAAACCAGATGGGGTAATAAACTCTGGGGCTTCAGCCTTCTGTGACCTTCTGGGTGGCCTCCCTGCCCCGTACTTGGGTTAGTCTCAAGGGTTCTGGCCTCTGCTTCCCCTAACTGCTCCAACACAATGCTCAGATCAGGTCTGTGAGCCTGCTTCCCGGGGCCTGGAGTTTTTATCTGTAAGAGTTTGGAGGCTTTGGGTTGTGAATAATAAGAAACCCAATTTTTGCTTTAATAAGAAAGGAAGTTTGCAATAAGGTTTATTCTGGGGCATCTCGTTGAAGCCCTCCTGCATCCCTGCCCTTGGGTTTAGGGCCTGGAGGGCTCTCAGGAGTCACATTCTGGAGGGAGGCTGAAAAACAGGAATTGATAGTAGGAGAATATACTTTGCTTTGTGTGAGAGGAATTGTTTAAGATTAGAGATTAGAGAAAAATGTGCTCTCTCTGATTCTAACTGATGCTATTTGCTTCCGTGACCCTGCTTGCTTTTAGTTGTTTGTTAAATGTAGTTAATCAGAAACAGGAATAAGAGCAGGAGTGACTCCATGACAGGCTGAACTTCCTGGAGTAGGTCTAAGTTTCAGTTTTCCCCGAAACGACGCCGCCCTTTCCCCCCCGAAATGACGCTGACCACAATTGGCCCCTGCGCGAAAATCCCGAGGCTTGGAGCCACTTTTAAAGGAACCAATCAGGAGCCAACACGATCAGCCACTTTTAAAGGAACCAATGAACTAAGGAGGGGAGGGGGGAGGGGGTGCCCAGCGTGTCGTGAAACCTGTGTGTCGTGTGTAAAACAGAAAAAGGTATAAAAGCTTAACCTCTACCCCAAGGCGGGGTCCTAGCCCTTAGAAGAGGCCACTGCATTGGTGCTCTGGGACTTGGACCCTAGCTCGAGCTAGCCAATAAACTCCTTTGCCATTTGCAACCTCGGTGACTCTGCCTCTCTGTTCCTGGGGCCGAGAGGAACCGGCTCTAACAAGGCCACAGGTCACCTCATCTCTGTCTCTGCACGCCAGCTGCCTTCCCACCACTACCCGCTGAGCCACCTCCTAGAAAGAGGCGATTTACCTTTCTCAGGGTCAGTAGAGGTTTTTAATATCTGCGGGAGATTTATACATGCTAATGAACTCCTACAGCTGCCTGGTTTAATTGCTATTCAATTTAGAACATAAATTTCATGATCTTTTTCTTAGTTTTAGCACATTAACCCAGTCTATTCAGAGGCTTTGAGAACTCTTGTGTTAATTAAATCACTACCTTTGGGTTACCCCACTCCCACGAGACTGTGTGGCTCAGTCACCTTCACGGTGTGCCAGGGCAGGGTTGTTGGCAAACCCTCAGGGAGGGCAGTTGGCATTGGCCTCAGGATGACGAATGCATCTACGTTTTGACCCAGAATTCCGCTCCTGAGAGCACGTCCTACAGACACTTGCTCACGGTGCAGTGATGGATGCACAGGGCTATCAGAGCAAGGTTGCTTGTGATTTCCTGGCCTTGGAGACAGCCCAGACGCCTACAGCAAAGGATGGGTTGCGAGTCTGCAAGGCAAGAGAATGGCCCTCACCAGACACCAGCCCTCCAGTTTCCAGAACTGTGAGAAAATAGATTATCGGGTTGTTAGAGCCACCCAGGCTGTGGTATTTTGTTATGGCAGCCTGAGCTGACTCAGACAGGGCCCCGGAGGGGTTTGAGCAAGATGTAACTGGCTCATGCTGTGGCTGTAGGGAGTCCAGGTAGAGGCAGGGACAGCCTCGGAGAAGGCGGTGGTTGCTGCCTTCCAGGGGACAGGTGAAGCGGGGGTCCTGCCAGGGTGGGGAGGAGGCTCGGGATTCAGGATAAAAGCCAACAGGACTTCCCAGGGATCAGATGTAGCTTGAGAAAGAACAGGGTCTTCAGTGACTCCAGGGTGTTTGTCCAGAGCATTGAGAGTGGCTGGTTGAATAAATTAACATGCAGCCATTGAGTAGAGTACCAAGTAACTGGAAAAGAGGAAATAAAGAGAAGCTGTCTGTGTGTCCTCACGCCTGAGCAGAATCTCGCCATTTCCAAATGGGTGCGTTTTAATTGATTAGAGCCACAAGATTCGGTTAAGCGAATCAAATAAGTGATATAGTTTCTTTTTTATTATTATTTATTTGTTTACTGTAGAGATGGGGTCTTTTTTATTATTATTTATTTGTTTACTGTAGAGATGGGGTCTTGCTGTGTGGCCAGGCTGGCCTCTGGCTCCTGGCCTCAGGCAGTTCCCCACCCAGGCCTCCCAACCCCTGAGCCACCACCCAAGCCCTGAGCCACCACCCCACCACCTGTGATTATACTTTGAAGTGTTTGTGAAGAATTTAATCCTGTTTTGTAACTATGTTTAAATGTTTAGGGAAATTTCACCTGTGAAAGTTATAAGCTATAATATAATAATTGATCACTGATTAAAAAATAAGTGAATGCCACTTTCTCTTGAAGAAATAATATGTTTACACGGTTAAAAAATACACAAAAGGGTTTCAGCGAAGTGCTCCCTGCCCTCTTCTTCTGCCCAGCGTCTCTGCCGCACCAAGGCGGCTGCTATTGACAGGGACACACACTCCCCTCCCTTTAATCCAGACGGCAGCACGGTAAATGGGTCGCCGCCCTGTTTCATTTAGTATTTCTTGGAGACCTATCCTTATCAGTACACCGAGAGCCCCTCCAAAGGCAGGGGTTGGTAACATGGCTGGTGCTGACAAAACTGGTTTTGCAACCACTTTGGTGTCCTGGGAAGGCAGACTGGTGCCTGGTTTTGGCACATGGGAAACTTGGCATCTGCCATCACTTTGACTTCTCCTGGCTTGGGGCAGTCCAGCCGGAATGCAGACAGCCGCTGTGACAGTTTGTGCATGCTGGCGCAAGCACTGTTTCTGTGATGCTTACTCCTCTCCTACCATGTTCACCCCTCAGGAGTTGCAGAATCAATCCCCTACCTGAGGGAAGCACAGGTTTTTGGGGGCCCACTGTGGCCACTGAGGTTGGGGACCCCAAGTTGCATATTAATACTCAGAGCTCTCTCTGAGATGCAGGTTCCTTGTGGTGTCTGCTGGGAGCTGGACTGCATATCTTTTGGGGAGATCAACCCAGTACCCCAAGGGTCCCCTGACGGTGCCCGACTTACTAACATCTCTAGGGGATCATTTTATCAGCGTGTCTTTCTTCAGTCCAGGTGGGGGTGGGCTGTAGGGAAGGAGGTGGAAGCCAACATTCGGGTCAGGGGCCCCCCGATGGAGGTTTGTCTCAAGAGCCAGAGAGTCTTGTTTCTGCCAACACCCCCTGAAGTGGGTACGACCTTCCAGAACAATGTTGTGCACTCCGCGAAGAAAGGGGACGGTTTATCAGTTTGCTAGGGCTGCCATAACAAAGTACCACAAACCGGGTAGCTTCAACAACGGAAATGGATTCTCTCACAGTGCCGGGTTTTTTAAATTTAGTTTTATTTTTTAAAAATTTTCACAGATTCTTAGAAGTGTTACGAGAATTCTCTTACAGTTCTGGAGACCGGAAGTGCAAAATCAGGGGTTGGCAGGGCAACGCTTCCTCTTAGGGCGCTAGGGAAGGCCTCACCCTCTGAGATCCTGGTCGCTCCTTGGCTTGTGGCGCTATAACTCCTGTGTGTGTATGTCTGCGTCCAAATTTCTTCTTTTTATTAGGACACCAGCCATATTAGATTACAGATCCACTCCGATGACAATCTTAACTAATTACATCTGCAACGACCCTATTTCTAAATAAGGTCATGTTCTGAGGTACCAGGATTAGGACTTCGACATATGGATTTGGGGTGGGCGGCAGACACAGTTCAGCCCATAACTGGTGATGCTGCAGCAACAGACCTTTCCAGATTCTGCAAGCCGCCACCTCCTGATGAACGTAGCTATGCCCCAGCCGCAGTCTGGGGGAGCAAAGAGAAGTTACACAGAAAGATGCTGCATCCGCCCCGACCTGCTGGCTGCCACCCCACATCCAATCGGATTCAGATTTTTTTTTTTTTTTTTTTGAGGCAGAGTCTCACTCTTGCCCAGGCTAGAGTGCAGTGGCGTCAGCTTAGCTCACTGCAACCTCAAACTCCTGGTTTCGAGCAATCCTCCTACCTCAGCCTCCCGAGTAGCTGGGACTACAGGTGTGTGCCACCACACCCAGATAATTTTTTTCTATTTTTAGTAGTTCCTGGCTACTCATTTCTACTTTTAGTAGAGACAGGGTCTCGCTCTTGGTTGGGCTGGTCTCAAACTCCTAAGCTCAAGCGATCCTCCTGCCTCAGCCTCCCAGAGTGCTAGGATGACAGGCGTTAGCCACTGCGCCTGGCCAGATTGATTCAGAATTTAGAATTTATCTTCAGCTCATGCCATGTGGTATTTGTGGGACCCATTTTAACTCTTTGCATAATGAAATACTCTTCAGTTTTTCCTTTTGGATTAGCGTGTTTGGGGTTCTGCTCATGCGGTCTTTGCCAACTCAGAGGTTACGAAGATCTCTTGTTTTCTTTTCTAAAAGCTTTCTGGTCCGATCTGGAATGCCTCTGGAGTGCTCTCTGTGTGTGGGCTGAGGTGGGGGTCAAGAATGTTTTTTTTGATTTGGATATTCAGTTGACCCAGCCTTGCTTATTGAAATACGGATTCATTACACAATTTCCTTTCCTTTTTACACAGTTTTCTTTCAAATGCTTACTGTGTGTCAAGTCCTGGTGTCTACAGGTGGGCAAAGCAAAGCCCTTGTCCTCAGAGTTTGTTCCAGTGCTGGTGGCGGGCAGGTGGTCACCTGGAGAAGTATCTAGCAAGAATGATGAATGCCGGGTGGAAAGCACAGAGGGAGGGGTGCACCGTGCTGTATTGACTGGTCCGTTCCAGGTCACATGGGCTGTGTCCAGTGCTGTTGCTGTTATACACAGCATTGCTGCGAGCATCCTTAAAACAAACCCTTGGGAACATTTCTGATTATTTCCTTATAATAAATGCCGATAAGGACTTGGGGGCTTTGTTACATATTTCCACGTTGCCCTCCCGAAGAGTTTACACTTTACACTCTCTCCAGCCCAGCGTTGGAGGAGCTCATCTGCCTGGGTTTTGGTGATGTCAGGGGAACATCTGGAGGGCACTTCCGTACTGAAACGTGAGCAGAGCCGCTCCCGCCTCCACACCCGTTTCCCTCGCGGGGCCCTTCATCCTTTCTCCGCACCCAGGCCGTAGCCAATGTCCGCATTGCTCTGAGCTCTTCCATTGTGGCTTTCATCATATGTTCATATTGCTCCATTCTCTGTTGGTTTCAAGTGAGTTTCTATCCTGTTTCCCTAGAAGATTATTTTTCCAAATATTTGGGAGCGTTCGTGCTTCCTAGGGCACGCAGCCCAGCGCAGTGCAGACGATAAACATGTTGTAACGGGGCGCTGACAGGTGCCTCCCGGAACCCAGTTCCCTCAGAGACAGATGCCAGGACTGGGGAGTCCTCTTTCCTGGGAGGTGCTCACAGCTGAAGCTGACTCGTCAACCCAGGGGAGCTTTCGGCCGAAAGCTTTCTTCCACAGTGGAATCATAAATTGCTGCCATTTGAGCTTGTGCTGACAGTGACCTGTCTGTTTCCGAGACAGCCACCAGGAGGGCCCGGGCCACCGGGAGGAGCCTGCTGCATGTGCCCTACGGAGATGCCAAAGGGGAGACACTGGACATCTACCTTCCCCACGAGGCACCTGAAGGTCAGCGCGGGGGCTGGGGGTCCTGCCGCAGGGCTCAGGGGCCAGCCCTGCACACGCACCCTCTTGGTTTTACAGCCTTTCCTGTCTTTGTGTTTGTCCACGGAGGATACTGGCAGTGCGGAAGGTGAGTGGGGCGTTCGGACAGCGGAGCAAAAGGGAGATTGTTCTTTCCCAGCTGGGTTGGTCTCCTGCAGCTGCCGCAACAAACTGCCACACGCTGGTGGCTTCAACAAGAGCGTATCCTCCCACATCCCGGAGGCCAAACGCCAGACACCAAGGAGTGGGCAGGGCCGTGCGGCAGGGTCCTTCCTGCTCCCGGAGCTTCCGCCTTCCCAGGTGCTCGCTGGCCTGCGGCTGCATCCCTGCAGTCTGCTCTGCCACAGCGGCGCTCTGAGTGAGTTTCTGTGCCTGAAATCCCTTCTTTTTTCTTGCAAGGACACCAGTCGCTGGAGTCAGGGCCCACCCTGATCCAGGATGATCTCACCTGAAGATTCTTAATGCCATCTGCAAAGACCCTATTTCCAAACACGGTCACATTCATAAGTTCTGGGGGTTGGGACTTGGACATGTCTTTTTGGGGGACACAGTTCAACCCAGTCCCCGCAGTGAGAAGCACGTCCAGCCCACTCTCCAGTCAAAGGAAAAGCCAGAGTGGCTGAGCAGAGTTCTCCCAGGACGTGCGCTTGCAGTGAGAGAGGCAACGCTCTGCATGGACAGAACGTCAGGCATGTGGCGTGTCCAGGACACGGGGGAAGCAGCACAGTGGCCAAGCTGCCTCCAGTTGTCCCATCTCTGTCTCTTTCTGCAGTAAAGACGAATCTGCCTTCATGGTGGAGCCCTTGATAGCACAAGGAGTGGCCGTGGTGACAGTGGCTTATGACATTGCCCCCAGAGGTAACAGGGGTGGTTGCTGCGGGTCTAAGGGTTGGTGGGCTTTGATGGGGAGGGAGCCCCCAACCTGGCTCATGCTGTCTATGCAGGCAACCTGGACCAGATGGTAGACCAGGTGACACGGAGCACCGCGTTTGTGCAGAAGCGGTACCCGTCTAATGAGTGGGTGTCATTGCATGTTTCCTGCTTGCTGGACCATGCTGGGTGGGAGGACCATGCCTGCTGGACACAGCCACGCTGCCCCTCTGGCCTGTGGAGCAGAAGGCAAAGTGGGACTTCTCGGTACTGGCCTGAAACTTTGGGGAAACTTAATGCAAATGCAGCTCTTTGCTCTGACCCACTGCAGGGGAATTTACCTGTGTGGACACTCAGCGGGGGCCCAGCTGGCCGCCATGATGCTCCTGGCCGACTGGACCAAGCTTGGAGTCACGCCCAACCTCAAAGGTCTCCACGGGGACTGCAGCCTGGCTAGGCAGCCTTCACCCTCCAGACAGGCCTGAGGGTTTGGACCAGCTGTTCCAAATCCCAACAGCTGGGAGCAGCTTGACCGTGAGGGCTTTGAGCCCTGGGAGCAGGGCCTTCTCTGCTTCCTCTTGCCCCTCCCCGGGTTTGCCCCTCTGGCCTGGAGGATGGGCTGCCTGTCCCGCTACACCTGAGCTGGGCGTGGGACTGTTCTTCCTCTTCCCAGGCTTTTTCCTGGTGAGTGGGGTCTACGACCTGGAGCCCATCCTGTACACCTCGCAGAACGCCCCTCTCCACTTGACACTGTGAGTCCCCCGCCCACCCCAGCCGCAGCTCACCTGCAGCCTGGCTTCTCCCTGCCCTGACTCTCGCACACCCCCCACACCAGAGAGGATGCTCAGAGGAACAGCCCCCAGCTGTTGATGGCCCTGACGCAGCCGGCGGATCCCACATGCCACGTGCTGGTGATCGTGGGCCAGCACGACTCCCCTGAATTCCAGCGACAGTCCAGGGAGTTTTATCAGGTACTCCCAGCGCCCAGTTTGCAGCTAGAGGTCAAGGGTCATGTGCTCTTCTTATTATCTTCTTGCCTTCACCCAAGTGGACCCCAAGGGTATCAGTCATTCATTCAACAAATACTTACTGAGCTCCTGAAACAGGCCGGGCATGGTGAGGAGGGTCCCAGCCTCCCCTCCTGCAGCCTCACCCTCCCCCTTCCCACGTTTCTCCTGCCCAGACCCTGTGCCGAGGGGGGTGGAAAGCCTCGTTTGAAGAGCTCCGAAATGTGGATCACTTTGAAATCATTGAGAATCTGACCCAGAAGGACGACGTGCTCACGCAGGTGGGGCCTCGTCCTTCCCAGCTGCCTGGCAGCCCTCTTCACGGTGGACAGCGGGGCTCCTGTCCCAGCCCCTTAGACGCAAGCAGGGATGGGGGACAGCACTGCACAAAGGAGTCACCCATGGTTCTTTGGCACCCAGCAGGCTGGGGGACCCCTGGGTGCTGATGCCAGGGTCGAATGCTGCACTTGCTTCCTACACACTTCACCTCCCTCTGGAGCAGCCCCGGCTGATCTCTGGGGAGTCTGGTCCTGGGCACACAGGGGGGATCTGCACATGGCTACCTGGGCAAGGAGAGACAGGTGGAGAAGGTGTTGGCTGTCTTTGTCTAGGAATAAAAGCAAAAGCCTGTAATCCTAGCACTGTGGGAGGCTGAGGCAGGAGGATCGCCTGAGCCCAGGAGTTTGAGGTTGCTGTGAGCTAGGCTGATGCCATGGCACTCCAGCCAGGATGACAGAATGAGACTCTGCCTCAAAAAAAAAACTGATGCCCTGAGCTCCCTGGGGTTCTGCTGTTGGGAGCTCGAGTTTGCCGACATGTCTGGGGCGCAGTGCGGCAAAATGCGTCCAAACCCACCGACCCAGTAATTCTACCGCTTGGAATTTGACTTCAGTGTTATCAATGAGACACTCAGAGATGTTCTTTGTTAATATTTAGAACTTGGAAACAACCTAAGTATCCAGGAAGGTTGAATTATGATATAATCAGGCAACAAGATCACATTTGTGAAAACTGATTCAGGTCGGATGTGAGAGCAAAAACCCGAGAAACAACTGCTCTAGTGTATTCCTGGTTTCATACTACACGAGTAGCTAGGCCGTTGGAGGTGCATGTGTGCACAGGAAAAAACATTTATCCGTGGTGTTAAAAGTCCACATTTAAAAAATCTACATTTTCTACCATGAACATGTACGTATTACTTTTTTTTATTGATTTTTTTAGTTCATCACTTTATTTTCTTTTTCCTTCCTCTTTTTCTTTCTTTTTATTTTGTTCATTTCATTTTTTTCTATTTTAATTTTAATTCTTTATACTACAACTTGAATTCACGTATTACTTTTTTTAACTGAGGAAAGAACAAACACCCAGAAAACCTAAGAAAGGAACGACCCCAAGAAAGACACCTTGTTTCTTTAATCCTTAGAGAAAGTGGCTCCAATTCTGAGCCTTTCCTGCCCTCTCTTCCTGCTGCAGATTATATTGAAAACAATCTTTCGGGAGTTCTGACGACACCAGACCGCGGCCTGCGTGCACCCCGACTCCGGGAGGCTACTCAAGGGGCTCCAGAGCGAAGCCAGCTTCCCACGGCTCCCAGCATGGCCGGGTGGGCTTCCTCCCCCGGCAGGAGCCCCTTCTTCCCACTGCCGTGAACACACGTGACGGTCTCCACGTCCTCCCTCCTCTCGGCCTGGATCCGGCTCTGGGGAAAGTCCACAGGTCGCACCCAGAGCTGCCTCTGCCAAGTCTGGCCACTGTGACTGCTGACGTGGTGTGACAAAAATGACTTAGCCCCAGCTTGCCACCAGTTTTTGTATGACCCTTAAGTGAAGAATGGTTTTACATTTTTAGATGGTTCAAAAAGAACGAAAAATTGCATAACATGTAAAAATTATGTAAAACTTAAATTTCAGCATTCATAAATAAAGGTGTATTGGAACTGTGAACTAAAATCAAATCTTAAGGTTCCCCCTCAACCAGTGACTGAACGGACCCCCTCCTGGCCAAGGGGCTATCCTAAAACTAATATCCTAAAACTAAATTGCCTGCCCCCTCCCTTCTTGGGGACATCCTTTGTAACCCATTAACAGGCCTAAGGATATGCAAGACACGCCTGCATGTCCTCAATTTACACAACAAATGTACATCCAGTGTCTTGTCTCTGATTTACAGACTTACTTATCTTAACATTCCAAGCCTTCAGACAAAGTTCATGTCTTTAACCAATTACAAGTCAAAGAGTCTTTAAACCCACCTGTAACCTGTAAGCCCCAGTTTCGAGATGGCCCACCTTTTTGGGCCAAACCCATGTATGCCTTCCATGTATTGATTTATAACTTTGCCTGTAACCCCGGAAATGTATAAAACCAAACTGTGACCCAGCCACAGGGAGTCCACTTGCTCAAGGCTTCTTGGGCGTGGCTCTGGGTCGTGGTCCTCAAATTTGGCTCAGAATAAATCTCTTTAAAATTATTTTGCAGAGTTTGGCTTCCTTTCCATTGACAGGACACAGCCCTGCTCATTCATTTACCTATGGCGTGACAGCTTCAAGCAGAGCTTCAAGCCAGGCTCTAGTGCATAGAGCACTGCCCATCCTGGCCTCTACAGGACTGGCTGCTGTGAGTAAGGGTGTCCGCAAACTGGTCTTTGTTTTGCTTCTGTCTTCTGTCTGCTCTGTCCTGGGTCCTACTTGACATTTGGGTCTGTCCCTAAATACCCTGGGATCTTAGCTTTCGGGCTAACACCTTAACAGTGAGGACAGCGCCATCCACAGATAGGACAAGCTTTCTCTGCCCACCCCAGGTCTGTGTGCAATCCCCAAGGAGCCAGGTGTGTGACTCCCACACCCCACCCCAGCCCACCTCCTCTTTCTCCCGCTCTGAATATCTAGCAATTCAAGAATTTTCCCTGTGGGCCGTGCATGGTGGCTCACACCTATAATCGCAGCACCTATAATCTCAGCACTCTGGGAGGCCAAGGCGGGAGGATCCCTCAAGGCCAGGAGTTAGAAACCAGCCTCAGCAAGAGCAAGACCCTGTCTCTACTACTAAAAATAGAAAAATCAGCCAAGTGTGATGGCACACACCTGCAGTCCCAGCTGCTCGGGAAGCTAAAGCAGGAGGATCGCTTGGGCACAGGAGTTTGAGGTTGCAGTGAGCTGTGATGACTCCACTGCACTCCAGCCTGGGTGACAGAGCCAGACTGTCTCTAAAAAGAAAAATAAAGAATGTCCCTTGTGGCGTTATTGATTATACGATTATATACCACACGATATAGGGATCGATACTATCTTTGGTTTCAGGCATATGTTGCAAGTGGGGGTCTTGGAACATATCCCCACAGATAAGGGAGGACTGCCATATACCTTCTGTAGGAACAAACATGGTATATATAGGGTATACAGACCCCACACCCTCACTCTAGATTTTTAACCCACTGACTGCCATGTGAGGTGTATTTAACTCAGGCTAGTTTTGAGCCCAGGGCGGCATGAAGCAAAACCCTGCAGTTGGTTGGTGAAAATCTTACTTCTTGATGTTCTTATTATCACAATTTATATTGACAATTTAATTCTAAAAATGTGGATTTGGTTTCGTATAACTCTTGCACAGAAAACAATAAAAAATAACAAATTAGAAAGGATAGCTTTGTTTTAATAAAACACCGTGGCCCCAGGGAAAAAATATTTTTTCTAGTGTGGCAGTCAGTGTGTTAAAGGAAATGACTCACAAACTGTAGGACGTCACTTAATGTTTGTAACAACTTGCCTGGTGAGACACTTAGGCTGCAGGAAACTCAGTCCTCACCACACCTGGGCTGAGCATTGCTCCCTTAGGCTGTGCCTCAAGGTTAACACTCAGGTAGGCAAAAGACATGAATAGACATCCAGACATGGGTACAGGTATATGGCAGCCATGTTTCCACGTATGTAGGTACAGAAGTAACGACCGGAAGGGTACACACGTGTTAACCTCCAGGATGACATGGTGGGCAATTTAAATTTTCTTCCTTTTATTTAATAAACATTTTTACATTAAGTTTATTTTTTGATTGTTAAATTTTTTTTTAGCAAGGCCCATTGCTTCAAAACTTTAATTAACGTATTTATATTTCTTTTTTTCTTTTTTGAGATCGGGTCTCACCCTGTCACCCAAGCTCTAGTGGTGGTATCGCAGCTCACTGCAGCCTTGAATTCCTGGGTTCAGGGGATCCTCCTGCCTTAGCCTCCCGGGCAGCTGGGACTACAGGCATGCGCCACCACACCCAACTAATTTTTCTATTTTTTGTAGAGATGGGGTCTCGCTCTTGCTCAGCCTGGTCTTGAATTCCTGGTTTAAGCGACCCTCCCGCCTCCACCTACTGGAGTGTGAGGATTATAGGCGTGAGCCACTGTGCCCGGCCTTAATATTCCCTTTTGTAGAGACAGGGCCTTACTATGTTGCTCAGGCTGGTCTTGAACTCCTGGCCTCAAGAGATCCTCCTGCCTTGGCCTCCCAAAGTGCTGGGATTACAGGCGTGAGCCACCGCACCTGGCCAACTGTTTAATTTCATTGGACTTTTATTTAATATAGAGTTATATTAAATATACTGGATTTGGTAAGTGTGTCAACATTTCTGATTTTGATGGTTGTCCTGTGGTTATGTGCGAGAATGAAGTATTTAGGGGTAGAGTGTCACAAGGCCTTCAACTTGCTGATAAATGCTTCAGGTAAAGAACCCAGATACATATATGTAAGTCTGCATTATATGCTATAGACATACCTGAGTGTGTGTGGGTAGAGAGAGAAAGCTGAGAGACAGTGATAGAGCAAATGGCAAAAACATAAAAACAGAAAATCTGGGTGAAGGGTATGTGAGCATTCCTTGTACTGTTCTTGCAACTTTTCCTTAAAGTGACATCAAAATAAAAAGTTACAAAAAATTTACCACATTAAAAGAATAGAGGTCCGTGGGCCATGGGCCTAGAGGGTTCGTGGGGCGCCGCGTATTTCCGGCCAGGGAAGTGAGAGGATGTGCGGACCGTCCCCTCCACTTCTCACTTGGGAAGTGACCCTGAGAACACCCTGTTCCAACACAGAGGACACCACTGATTTTTTTTGTTTTAAACAACAGGTTTTCTGTTTAGTAGGCTGCAGGGTTTACCATTGCTGGAGCCTCCTGCTTGGAGGAGGGAAAGGGGGAGTCTGCGCTGTGGGTCGGCCCACCCTGGCCCGCTCTTGCCCTGGCTCATGACGGCGTGACCCAGTACCTGGACCCTGGCCCCAGAGGGTGGCCTTCCCGGAAACCCACGTCTCTGCAGTCAGCGATTGTGCTCCTTCCCTTCCATTAGCCCTTTGCGCCCACGTGGAGTTTTCCTTCCCGCGGAGGTGGAGCGCTATAAACCGTGCCTGTCTGGCTTGGGCAGGCCCCTTCTTGCCCTCTTTGGTGGCCCAGCGCCCAGGAACTGCCGGAGGACTTGCTCCCAGCACCTGATTTCACTCCCTGACTCCTCGCACCGTCCAGACCTCTGCCCGTGGCTGGGGTTTCCATTCATCCCAACATGAAACTAGTGGCTGGAGCAGGAGCAAACAGATCGATGACGGACCGGACCGGGGAACAGGCCCAGCACGCACGGGAAAGCACGCGTGCTCTACCTGTCACATAGATGGTTAGAGAACAAACTGTCCAGACCTTGGGAAATGTCACACACCTTCCACTGACGTTCTTCCCAGAGGGGCGGAGATGTCAAACGCAAAAACCAAAACCAGGATTTATAAGCTACGGCTCTGTTTATAAAAGAGAAGAAGAAAAAAACAAAACCAGGAGAAACCCAGAGGAAAGCATCAAGGAACCTCTTTTCTAAAGCATGTCGGAGTGGAAAAGCCCGTCCAAGGCAGGGCAGAAACAAGGCACAACAAACCAGCCAGAAAACAGAAACCATAGCTCAGACAGAGAAACTGATAATATGACTGCACAAAATTTTTAACCTTTTGCAGGGAAAAACCATACCACAGTCTCCTCCACTCGTGGGGGGTGACCCGGCCCTTCTCTGGAATGTACTTAAAAAAAAAAAAACCACAAAGTCAAAGGGCAAATAACAAATGGGGTCGGGGTGGGGGCGTAACAAGTGAAGGTAAGTCCCTCTGTATAAAAACCCTTAACAAGCAATTGGAAAAATGTCCCTAATCCAACAGAAAAGTGGGCAAAGGACACGCATGAACCAGCAATTCGCAGAAATGAAGTTCAGTTACCAGTGAATCTGAGAAGTGATCCGCGTCCCTTTTACGCGTAGAAAAACAAATTTTGTTTTGTTTGCTGTTAGCTTACCCAGAGGTTTTTCTTTTTCAATTTTTAATTTTTAATTTTTTTTAGAGACAGGCCCTCACCCTGTCGCCCAGGCTGGAGTGCAGTGGTGCAATCACAGCTCACCGCAGCCTCCAACTCCTGGGCTCAGGGGATCCTCCTGCCTCAGCCTCCCAATCAGCTGGGACTATAATCACACGACATCTCATCTGGCTAATTATTAATAAAAAAATTTTTTTGTAGAGATGTGGTCTTGCTACGTTGCCCAGGCTGTTCTCCAAATCCCAAAGTACTGAGATTACAGGCGTGAGCCGCAGCGCCCAGCCCTTAGCCTGTATTTTGGGAAAACAAGAGCTCTCAAGAGTGGTCTTGACCTTTTTCAGGTTGACTAGGGAGAACTTTGACCCTGAGAACTCAGCAACCAACAGAACAGATAGGACCTCACGCTGTCTTCCCACCCCTGTTGGGGTCTCTCTTTGTCAATCTTTGTGTTTTTCTCTCCCTCATTTTCTTTCCCAATTCTGTTTAACAAAATTACTCACAATTTTCTTGTGAATTAAGCTGATAAATAAACCCAAGCTACCAGTTTTTTTTTTTTTTTTTTTTTAGAGACGGGGTCTCACGCTGTTGGCTCTGTCGCAGGGGCTGGAATGTAGTGGTGCAATCATAGCTCACTGCAGGCTGGGACTCCTGGGCTCAAGCGACCCTCCTGCCTCAGCCTCCCGTAAGCTACCAGCCTCTTGTCCAGCGCATAATGATTGTTACTGGTAGAAATTAACAAAACAAAATTAATTTGATACGAGCTAAAACTGCACATGGTAAATGTCTTTACCAAAGCGGATATAAACCTCAAGGTTTTTTTAGCTACTAAATTTATATGTTAAAAATTTGGCCCCCAGACAATTAGAAGTGGGTAGAAATAATGTAGAAGGCTCAAAATGGCAGAAGGTATAATTGGTAAAATTTGATATAGCCAAAAGCTGATCTATGAATTAAATATTTGTTACAAAATCATACAGAAAGTGGGGAGTGTTTAACAGGCGGTTTCAGTTGGGGAAGATGAACAAGTTCTGGAGAGGGATGGCGGTGATGGCTGCACAACAGTGTGAAAGAAATTTAATGTGATCGAACTGTACACTTAACAATGTTTAAAATGGCAAATTTAAGCCAGGCATGGTGGCGCACGCCTGTAGTCCCAGCTACTGGGGAGGCTGAGGCAGGAGGATCACTTGAGCCCAGGAGTTTGAGGTTGCTGTGAGCTATGATGATGCCACTGCACTCTAGCCTGGGCTATAGAGCTAGATTCTGTCTCAAAAAAAGAAAAAAAAATACAGATAGGCCTCTTAAAAATTTTTTTCACTGTTTCCCTCCCAAAGGACTTACTGTGCTGTCTTTGGTCTGTGTGATGTTCCTGCTGGTAGAGAAAGGAGAGGAAAGAAAGGGTTGTTTCATGGTTCTCAGAGACTCAAGTCCCAATGTACATTTCAGGAAACTGAGGCTCAGAGACACCAAGTAACTGGCCATGGTGGAAGATGTGGAAGTAAAATTCCAATCGGAAGCCAGTCGTCGTGGTGCTCACCTGTAACCCCAGCAACTCAGGAGACTGAGCCTGGACGATCGTGTGAGGCCAGGAGTTGGAGAGCAGCCTGGCAAACATAGCAAGACCCCTGTCTCAGAACAAACAAACAGAACCCAGTCAGATTATTGTCAGTGCCTGTGGTCCACGTGCAATACTTAGGACTCTGGCTTTTTGCGTAAGCGATGTCCTGCGTGTGATGTGCTCACATGGTGATTGTGGTGTCACGCAGGGACCTTGTTGATTTATTTCCCACTGTGCCATCTGCACTTGGAACAGTCCTGGAGCATATTAGGCCATCAATTTGTACTTACTTCCTGAATTAATAGGTATTAAGGGCTCAGGAAATACTGGCTTTTGTTATCTAAGTTAGCTGGAGTTCTGAAGACCCTGGTGGGAGGCAGACAATCTGGGTTTTAGGTCCTGCTCTGATGCCCGTGTGATCTCTAAAGACATCACTTACGCTGCACAGACCTCAGTTTTCTCATCTATAAAATGGCCAGTTGCAATACTCATAGCAGATAAAGGGCTAATATCCTTAATATAAATTTACAAAGAACTCCTAAAAATTGGTAAGAAAAAGAGAAACATCTCAATAGGTAAGTGGACCAAAGATACATGTTGGCAAAAATTGAAGGGAGACAATATCTAGCGCTGGCAAGGGATCAGGCTTGGCAGGTGGAAATGAATATTGCTGCAGCTTTCTGGAAAATAATGTGGCACTGGGCATTAACATTTCGTTATTTTTTATAGAGACAGGGTCTCCGCTCTGTTGCCCAGGCCAGAGTGCAGTGGCCAGATCATAGCTCACTGCAGTCTCCAACTTTTAGGCTAAAGTGATCCTTTTGCCTCAGCCTCCTGGGTAGCTGGGACCACAGACTTCTGCCACCACACCGGGATAATTTTTAAATTTTTTGTAGATATGGGGTCTCGCCATGCTGCCCAGGCTGGTCTTAACTCCTGGCTAAAGCAATCCTCGCACCTCCTCCTCCCAAAGTGGTGGAACTACAGGCTTGAGCCACTGCATCCAGCCAGCATTAACATTTTAAACGCACAGTCAATTTAGCAATCCACATTTGAAAAACTAGCCTACAGGAGCAAAAACGCCAGGACACAAGACTATTCACACTAAGATATTTATTGCAGTGTTATTTGTAGTGGCACAAAATTGGACCCCTCTTTAGGGGTCCTTTGCCCGCTGAAGGGGTTCTAATGGAATCACTGAGTTTGTTCGTATCTGGGCACTGTGCTGCTTCTGCCGCACAGCGAGAGCCCAGCTATTGACCTTTAGGAACAGCTAACTCCGGTGGAAAGGCACGAACAAACCTCCAAGGGTCAACTTCTGGACTTCCAAGAAGCTTCAGTGAAAAGTCTTGATAAGCAAGTTAGTGGCTCATTTGAGGGTGAAGGTTAGCTGTGGATTTATTTAATCTCTCTGACGTCTTTCCTAGCGGAAGCGCGGCCTCCACATGGATGCCGAGCAAGGGGAGCACAAGGCTGTTCCAGGAGTGGGGAACCCCCAAAACCAAAGCGAGTTCGCAGGCCGAATGGGGGTACACTTATGCGCCGGACAGGGCCATCCCCGGACTCCACTGCGGAGACCTCGGCACGTCAACCGCCCTCCCCGCACCCCTCTTGGAGAGCAGCCCCGGGGCGCTAAGCGTGGAAAGGGCGGGGGTGAGGGGTCTCCAGGGAGCTGGGGACGAGCCGCGCGGCGGGCGGACTGCAACTCCCGGCACGCCCCGCGCCCGGCCGCGCTTTCCCAGAAGGCCGCGGGAGCGGCTCGCTCTAGGGGCAGGGCGTTCCCGACGTGCCCCGCGGCACGCCATTAACCGCCGGGTTTGAATCGCTGGGCCGCTCGGCGTCGGCGGCGGCGGCATGGGCGCCCCGGCGTTGCCCCCGGCCTGGCAGCTCTTTCTCAAGGACCACCGCGTTTCAACGTTCAAGAACTGGCCCTTCTTGGAGGGCTGCGCCTGCACCCCAGAGCGGGTGAGATTGCCCGACTCCTCGGGGTCCTCCAGGCCCGCCCCGGCCCGCCCCCGGCGAGGCCTTCCGGCCCCGGCCTTCCCGGGGGCTGCCGGCCCCCCTGTGGCTGGGCCCCGGGGGTCTGGGCCGCCGCGTCCGCTCACGACTGTGCCGTCCCTTGCAGATGGCCGAGGCCGGCTTCATCCACTGTCCCACTGAGAACGAGCCCGACTTGGCGCAGTGTTTCTTCTGCTTCAAGGAGCTGGAGGGCTGGGAGCCAGATGACGACCCCATGTAAGTCCCTTGAAGCCAGCCTCGATGGGCTTCCCTGCCCCCATCTGGAAGCTTTTCGGAACTGGGCTCGCGAAAACGATTTGCACTGGAGACGCTTAGTGCAGGAGCGAAGGCATCCCAGGCCCATGTTGTTTCTTAACCGCCGTTGTGAACGGAGACCTCTCTGTGTGCCTTGGTGATGCGCACCCCCTCATCGGATCCGGCCAGAGGCCCTGGGGTGGAGGTTGAAGAAAGGCTCATTCGTGCAGGTGCTTGCTGCCTTTCAGGTTCGACAGAAATACTTTAGCAGATCCTGTTGTCCTGAACTCTCGGGAATTTCCAAGTGCTTTTCCTGTTTGAGATTTTTTGAAAAACAAACTTTATTGAGATGTAATTCACACAGCACAAAAATCAGCCTTTTAAAGTGCGCACTTTCAGTGTTAATGGACTTTTTTCTTCAAGACAGTTACTTAGAAAAAAATTCTGCGTATGCATTCTGATTTATTTGTCTCTCCATAGTGTAATGCCGTGTTCTTTCTTACCTTGTTTTCCTGTTAGAATCAATTGTTTCCACAACTTTAATTTTTTCTCCTAGAGAAATTGTTTCTCTTCTTGGTCAGAAAAGAGTTGCTATTTTTTTCTTGATATTTTCTGCTGTTATGATCAAGTGTTGATTGGAATGGCATGGTGATTATACCAGTGATCACTGGGTGAATTTCTAAGTGTTGTAATATTTTCAGATTATAGTTACTATTGGCCATCCTTGTGGACTTTGTGTGGCTGTTTTCATTCCGTTAAATACTACTGTTCTGGTTAGGGCGACAGTCAACTGTTCAGGGAGATTCCCATGGCAGAGAATGATGGTATGAGGTAGAGGGGTCCCTGGGAAGTCTGGCCAATGATGTCCTTGTTCTGAACCAGTGGATTATGTAAAATTCCAGGGAAATGAAATCACTTCGAACAGTTCCTTGAGGACTGTTAGAGGGATTTGACTTATACCATATAACACTTTTCCCACTCTTGCTAAAGGAGTCCGGATAAAATACATCAACCACAGGATGTGGGGGAGATGCCCACAGAGAGAGAACGGTCTAAGCAGCTGAGACAAGCCACGTGGGCCTGTGCTTGGGGCACAGCACTGATTCCGTCAAGCTCAGACTTAGCACTTCACTCTTGGAGCAGAACAGGCAGGCTGTGCTCACGAGGGGGGTGGGCAGTGGGAGGCCAGGGCTGCTTTTTCCCCTTTTACCTGATTTCCTCTCTTGACGTGCTCATGTCTTGATTTTCCTAGAGAGGAACATAAAAAGCATTCGTCTGGTTGTGCTTTCCTTTCTGTCAAGAAGCAGTTTGAAGAATTAACCCTCAGTGAATTTTTGAAACTGGACAGAGAAAGAGCCAAGAACAAGATCGTATGTATTACTGGGAGTAAGAACTGAAAGCAAACCCTGTTGGACATCTTTAGTGCTAAACTACCCAGTCCCTCAAAAACACCAGAAGGACTCTGTGTTTTCCCTAGGAAGCATTTTTAAAGCCCCAAGAATGTATATGTGTGTGTGTGTGTGTGTGTGTGTGAGTGAGTGATTTTTAAAGCCCCTGGAGTGTAATCTTGGGGTTTTGCGGTCAGAAGAACACCTTCCCTTAGGAAAGATGTGTTTAGTGTGAGGGTCCTCGGTTGGTGGGGACACAGTGGTGTGAGGATTGCCTTCATGCCTCAGTGACCATCTGTATGGGAAGTCACGTGGTTGTACGTTCATGTGTTAGTGGTGTGAGCACAGGATTTGGGGAAGCACAGTGGAGTGCATGGGAGGCGGAGAAAGAGGCAGCCGTGCAGCTGAAACTGAAGGGTTCCTGCAGGTGGACCTTGGCTCTTGCCCAGGGGTACTGGGTTATCGCTAGAGCAGAAGGAGAAGGATGAGTCCACAAAGAGGTGGCTCCCACACAGCCAGGCTGTGGAGAATGAGGCGTGCTAGAGAAAACCAGGGCTCCCAGTTAAATTGGGATTTCAGTTAATCAAGGAATAATTTCTTAGTATTAAGTATATCCTCACGTTTTGTGTACGTATTTACTAAAAAGTTAGTTGTTTATATCTTTTTTTAGAGACAGGATCTTGCTCTGTCCCCCAGGCTGGAGTGCAGTGGCACAGTTACTGTAACCTCAAGCTCCTGGGCTCAAGTGATCTTCCCTCCCCATCCTCCCGAGTAGCTGGGACTACAGGCACGTGCCACCACATCTGGCTCATTTTTTGTTTTTAGTAGAGATGGGGTCTCACTATGTTGCCCAGTCTGGTCTCAAAGTCTTGGGCTCAAGTGATCCCCCTATCTTGGCCTCCCAGAGTGCTGGGATCACAGGCATGAGCCACCAGGCCCCGTGGCGTTTTGTATTCTTATTTGCTAAATCTGACAGCTCTGTAGAGAATAGACACGGGCAGTGGGTAATGTCCTTGTAGCAATGCACTGGGTGTGGAGTCAGGGACACCCTAGTTCTAGTCCAGCGACTTACAGACTTTGCAAGTTTAAGCCAGTCTTGGTCGCACTTTCCTTGCTACATAGAGGATAGGACCCCCCCTTCCCACCCCATGCTTCCTGAGGTCCCTTTTCAGCTTGAAAATTGTGTTCCCTTTTAAAGATCAGTATAAAATAACTCTGTTTAATATCATAGCTTCTAAATGCCGAGGACTAAAATCGTGTTTTGTCAGGAAGAGGGGAAGATACCAGTGGTCAGTAAAGTGTGTTGTGCGGAAACTAGTTACTCGATTGAGGTCTTGGGAACTGCAGTGTTGGAAAGTGGGCTAGGGAGAGCCTTCTGGGTCAGGGGTCAGCAGACTCCTTGTAGGCCACATAGTCTCTGTTGTATGTTATTCTTTGTTGTTTTTTCATAATCATTTAAAAACGTAAAAGCCACTCTTAGCCTGTGTGCTGTGCAGGAAAAGGCCTTGATGGGCGGGATGGATTTGGCTGTCGGGCCGAGTTTGCCAAGCCCTGTTCTAGGAGGCGGAGCAGCTTATGCACCTGAGGAACTGTCACAGGCAGGTGCCTGAGCTGAGTGGGGGTTGGGGGGTGTGGTGCAGCAGGGTGGCAGCCAGCTCGGGGAGCACTGAGAAGGGCAAGGGAGTCGGGTCATGGCTGTTGCAAGTGGGATGACACTGAGTTCTGACACAGTCCTGTTGCAAAATACAGCCGCAGAGAAACTTACTTTGTTAAGACTTTAGTTTGTAAATACCTGTCATGGGGACAAAATGAAGCACTGAAAGAAGCAGCCAGTCGTATCCTTGGGTGGCAGACGTTTTGTCAGTGAGTTTTATTTTTGTTTTTCAATAGTGAGAGTTCCTGCTTTGCTTCACCCCCCTCCCTTTATTAGAAAATGTATGAAATGGGCCGGGTGCAGTGGCTCATGCCTGTAATCCTAGCACTCTGGGAGGCTGAGGCGGGAGGATCGCTTAAGCCCAGGAGTTTGAGGTTGCAGTGAGCTTTCATGTCACTGCTGCACTCTAGCTGGGGTGACAGAGTGAGACCCTATCTCAAAAAAAAGAAAGAAAAGAAATTTAACCCAGGAAAGGTATTTTGGTTTGTTTTTTAATGTGGCAGAGAAGTTAGGGAGAATAAAGAATAGGATGGGGAGGAGTTCCCTGGATTTGGATTTGCTAATGTGATTGTCATTTGCCCCTCAGAATGAAATAGTTGGAAGCCAGATTCAGGGAGGGACTGGAAGCAAAAACAATTTCTGTTTGAGGAAAAAGCTGATGTTTGACAGGCTCTGTTTAATTGGACAAGAGGAGGAAGGCTCTGGACTTTTCCTCCAGGAGTTCAGAAGCAAGGTAGGGGTTGGCTGAGAGCAGAGCTGCAGAGTAGCCTGGAGCTGGCTGCGTCACCCTGGGCCTCAGGTTCCTCATCTGTGTAATGGGTGTGAGAGCGCATCCTCGTGGGGACACTGCAAGCAATGAATCAGCTTAGATGGTGAGGCAGGAGGCACAGCGCTTGGTATGTACAAAGTGTGCCATGCGTGTTTTCAGTACGAAAGGATTAGGAGGTAGCTTAAACTGCAGGCAATTGAGCTGAATCGGATATTTGGCCCAGATGGCTGGGCGTCTACCCTTGCACAGTGCCCAGTTTATTTAGGTGCTAATAAGTGTTCCCTTTTGTTTCTTTCTTTTTGATCTTATTTACAGAGTGTGATTTGGAAGCTCTTATTTCAGTTTCGTGCATTTATCCTTTATTTCTAGGCAAAGGAAACCAGCAACAAGAAGAAAGAATTTGAAGAAACTGCAAAGAAAGTGCGCTGTGCCATTGAGCAGCTCGCTGCCATGGAGTGAGGCCTGCGACCTGCTCACCTGGTCCGGGGGTTCCTCGTTTCCCAGGCCTGTGCCCAGCGTCTCCAGCCTTTCTCTGGGACCCCCGAGCAATGCCTTAGGAAAGGAGAACATCAGAACTTTGAAGTTAGATATTTCGACTATATTTTTGTTTTCCCTTAAAGTGGCACCGGAGGCTGCTTCTGCCTGTGCAGCTGCTGCCACCAATTACAGTAACTGATTCTCTCTCTTTCTTTGGTGGTTTTGCTTTTTTAATTCCTGGACCCAGCAGGCGAGACGTGGGTGAGGAAGAAGGCAGGGCTGATGGCTTTGTTCGTGTGACCTCAGGTCTTTGACTCGCTGTCACTCTCAGACCAGTGTGGACTTGGCGGTGCTTGTTGAATCTGAGCTGCAGGTTCCTCACCTGTCACACACCTGCGCTGCTTCAGCGGGTTTTCTTTCTTTCTTTGTTTTCCACACCCCCCCGCCCCCCCCTCCGTTAGATACTCGATTTTTGTGTGATGAGGGGGCAATTGAGACAGTCCCCAGCTCCTCATGTTTTGAACATGGTTTTCCTATTTTCTTTGAAGTATTATTTCACAAAACAGCGCAGACTACAGCTGGAAGCGAGCACAAAGCCGTTCTAAGTCACTGGGGAAACAAGGGCAAGTGTTCGGTGGACCTGGTGATGAAGTGAGGTAGCAGGAAACATCTAGCAGATCTCATTTATGAAATCGCTCACGATTAGACAGGCCTCGTGAGCCGTAGGGCACACGCCGGCTATTCCCTCCCTGCAAAAGGCAGTGGCCTGAATCCTTTTTAGATTACTTGGCTCGGCTGTGGGGACTGGCGGGGCTGCTACGGGCTGCGTCTGTCAGCCTGGCCAGCCTCCACTGCTGCTGCGCCACACATCTGTCACAGAGCAGGGTGGTGGGAGGCGCACGGCCCACACCAGTCCCCACGGGCCTCCGGGGGACAGCTCCCCCGGCCTGAGGCCTGATGTTAAGATAATTTGGTTTTACCCTCCATGGAGTAAAGCCGCAGGGCAGGTTGTTACAGCTCCGCTGGAAACGTCTGGAGAGTGTTTCAGTTGTTTCTGAGAAATAAAAAACATGTCATTTCAAACAGTGCTGCAGACCCTACTGGGTTTTTAAAATATTGTCGGTTTTTCGTGGCGGGCCCTCTTAGCCTGCAGGCTGAGCCTCCCATCCGGACAGTGGCGGTGAGGATGCCTTCCACACGGGAGCAAAGCCAGACTCCCGGCCGGCACCACTTGACCCCAGACCCATGTGTATCGTCTGGACTCCTGTGGAAATGCACCACTGGCTTATTTATTTTTGCCACGTCTCAGAGAGTGAGATGTATTTTTCCCTCTAAACTTGGAGAATATTACAGTGGTTTTTGTTAGGAGAAAAAATGTACTCCAGCCACTGTGCTCATCTAAGCTGCTGGCTTTTTATATTTGTGCCAGTCTGTAAGTGCATACTTCACTTTAATAACTGGTGCTTACAAATTGGCTTTGTAGAGAAGCTGAAAGAAAGTGTTTTTGTCCTCAGTCCCCTTGCACGCTGGGCGATGATGCAGATTTCGGCTTCTGTCAGACTGTGCCGTGCACGAGGCTGAGCTGGAGCTGCCCCTCTCAGTCCACCCTCCCACACGTTTCCTCTTCTAGAAACTTGTTTCCTTTTTCCTTCTTTCTTTTTTTTTTGAGACAGAATCTTGCTCTGTCACCTGGGCTAGAGTGCAGTGGCATCAGCCTAGCTCACAGCAACCTCAAACTCCTGGGCTCAAGTGATCCTCCTGCCTCAGCCTCCTGAGTAGAGGTGCGCAACACCACGCCTGGCTAATTTTTTCTATTTTTTTCAATTGTCCAGCTAATTTTTCTTTCTATTTATTTAGTAGAGATGGATCTCACTCTTGCTCAGGCTGGCCTCAAACTGCTGACCTCACGTGATCCTCCTGCCTCGGCCTCCCAGAGGATTTCAGGTGTGAGCCACTGCGCCCGGCCTAGAAACTTGTTTTCTTTTTCTTTCTTTCTTTTTTTTTTTTTATTTTTATTTCTGATCACCATATACGACCTGAAGAGAAACGTGTTTTCTAAAGGCGTATTTGTCACCAGACCTCAATGACCGCCAGCGTCTGAAAGGTAAATCGACATCTGTTAATAAAGCCTGAGGCCCTTGTGTAAGGGCAACCGCCTCCACTTTCTTCCAAATATGTGAAAGCTTGAGAGCTTCTCAGGCTCTCTGAGTCGGTGGGGGCTCCGGGCTGGCAGTTGGAAGGGAGATTCACGGGGCCGCCAAGTTGGGTTCGAATGGCGGTTTAGAGCCCGACGGGCCAGACTCCTCATCTCACAGGGAGTGGAGACGGCAGGGTGTTGTGCAAAACAGAGAGGGCGTGCCAAGCTGGAGCTGCACCCTGCGGCTGCACTCGCTTAAAAAGAACACACAGTTGCCCGTAAAGCCTAATGTGATTTTATCTGCATTTTAAAACGCAGAAATGGAGACTAAAGAGGTGAAATAACTGTCCAGGATTATAGAACTAGTATTAAAAGTTTCAGGCCTGCAGTTTGAACCCAGAGAGTCTGGCTATAGAGCTGGGGCCTCACTGCTTGACGATGACCCGCCTCAGGTGTGGTCGACCGCCTGGTTCCGGGGAGGGAGGGCTATCTAAAGTGTCCCCATTCCGTTTTCAGAAAGTCAAATGGAACAGAAACCCACTTTCCAAAGCTTCCAGAGATCCTTACTGTGCATTTTAGCCTTTTATTTTGAATTTTAAGATTCACAGGAAGTTGTAAGTTGTAAAGATGGTATTTGAGTGGGGTCCTGTGTACCCTTCCCTAATTTGCCCACCATGATGACAGCACGACATCCGTGTTTGACACACCGTCTGTGCTGAGAGGGGGAGTTGTGCAGCCCAGCTTGCCCTGACCCAGTCCTGCCATCATGAAGGATCTCTTGACTTGGGTGGCTCTAGCTCTTAGCAAAGCAGAGAACCAACTGGCCTGTGGGTCTTCTCTCCACTGGGCTTGGCCTACAGTATTCGTGCCCGTTTTCATCTGGATGGGACCAAACTGGGCCCTTGGCTTCTGGGGTTTCCACTGGGTGTCCAAAGTGGTGACATTGATCCATGTGTTCCCTCAGATATTTGTCTCTGGCCCCACCATGCCGCATCCAGGATTGAAGCCCAGGAGAGCTGGGTCTTGAAGTGAGCTCACGAGTTTCTTGTTCTTGTTTTCCCAATGGTGGGAAGACAGGCCAGCAGGTAGCAAAGGCCTGCGGGATACCAAGACGAGAGCGACTAACTGCTTTGGGTGGCAACAGCACAGGCTCTCACTGAGCTTGCGTCTGTCCAAACCTACGGAGCAGGCTGCTGGGTGGACCAGGAAGGAACAGGTGTGCAGGGCAGAGGGGACAGAAATGCACGTGCATTCCTGTAAGGGGGGAAGGGATGTGGGCCCAGGAGCATCTACCTGATTCCCCGTTAGCAAAACCCTACCGAAGGTTGCCAGGCTCTCTGCACAGGTGAGGCCAAGGCAGCCGAGTTGAGCCCCTCAGGCCTGTGAGTTGTGCCTGGAGATGAGACCACCCAGCTGTGCCTCCCAGTCACGGCCACATGTCAAAGGGCTGCCTGTGCAGAATGGAAGGCACATTTCCAACCTGTGACCACAACCATCTGAGAGCCCTTTGGAATGTTTGGTTTTGACTAGAACAGTGTCGAGTCTACCGGGACGGATTAGCTGCATAAGAGACCCTCAGCGAATGAACTGACCTGTCGGGTAGGGTCATTCAGTGAGGTTCGTTCTCTGTTGCAGGATATTTGCCAAAAGCAGCGAGGTTGGTTGTAGTGTGGCTGATGCTGAGCCGAGCCTCGGGGGCGGGAGTTTAACTGATGGTTTCGGCTGCTTCCCCAGCCCCTCGCTGAGGCAGTGAAGAGATGCATCACCAGCCTGAAGCAGGGCTCATCTGCCCGTGGCCGTGGCTGGGGCCGGGCATCCCGCTCCTCCGACCGCTGGCATGAGGTGGTTAAATGTGCGTTTTAAAGAAAAGAGGCCTGGATGCAGCCTTGTGTTTTGTTACTTGTAATTGGAATTTCTTCCATCAAAAGGCCATCCTTGCCCCTGACTTCAGTGGCAGTGGTCTGACGCCGGCTTTGAAGAGGCCGTGCCAGCCTGGAGGCAGGCTTGGCGTTTCATCGCAGTTGATGAAAGCAGGGTGAATAATGAAAAATAATGGGTCGTTCTAAAGCAGTACCTTTCAGACGGCGCTAGGTGTAATTCGGGTCTATCTCAAGGGAAGTAAACTAGTGGAATTCATCAAAGTAGCCCTCGAGGACAAGGCAGTGCGACTGCGAGGGGACAATCCAATCGGTTTAAAACACTGACCCCAGGCTTCAGAGCAGACGGCGTGGACTGCTAACCCGCCCTGCAGCACGAGTGAAACACGCGCCCCTTCCACGGAGGCATGTGGCTCTGTGGTGCCCGTTCCTAAAACCTCCCCCTAGGTAGCAGTGGCCTCGAACAGTGCCTGTCTGTGGCCTCGACAGCTGAATTCTGTCCTGCTTAAGCTTTATGTGGGTGCAAAGGACAGACCCTCTCAAACCAGCTCAGCTCAAGTGGCGGGGGTCGTGGGGAGGCACGTGGCGCATGCAGCCAGAAGGGGTCCTGTCGTTCTTTCTCCCTAAACACAGTCAGTTCATACGTTATACACACAGGAGGTTTCTACCCAACTAAAGTGATACTGATCCTTGTTATATTGCTTTATTGAGGGGTAAATGTTAGGTGACTAGAGTTTTCGTTATTCACCGTTCTTTCCCCAGAGTCTGGGGCTGGAAGGAGGCCCAGGGAGAAGCTGCCCTACCCCTACCCCTCCTGCCTTTGTAGAGGCTGCTGCCCTCGGAACACCTTCCAGGTCGGGCTCCCGAGAGAGAAGGGCTGCCAGTGCAGGGGCCGTGGGCAGGGAGCCCCAGCTCCAGGGGCTGTCAGGCACCTGGACTGATGCAGCGGGGAGAGCCCAGGGCCGCCCACGTGCCCCTACAGTCTTTGGTGCAGGTGTGTGGAAAGATGGATGGCGTACAAAATACCCCAACAATTCTATGCCACTCCATTTAAATTCTGTTTGAAATATTGTTTCAATAACTGCTGGGATTGTTTTTCCTTCTGACTATACTTCTCAAACCAACAAGAGCCCAGCAGAGAAAACAACGGTCAAACAAACCCTCTGAGATGAGAGCCCTGGGTTGACCCTGAAGGGCCACCATCAGTGTGATGTTGACCCCCTATCCGCAGGCTCTGCCCAGCCCGGTGCAGTGACCCAGAGGAGCATCTGAGATTTAACCCCAGACCACCCACCAGGGCTGCCTGGCCCTTCCCTCCCAACCGTCACTATGATGGGTTCCTCGCAGACCTGCTCCTGGGTGGAGGCCTCCTCTTGGCTCCTCTGCCTCCCTCCACACCTGTTCTAGAAGGTTCTTGATGCACGTTTGCTCCGGAAATGACCGTGTGGCAGAGGCTGGCCTTGCTGGATGTGCATTTGTAATCAGGAACTAATCTCAAGCAAGGTGTTTTCCTTCTGAAGCAGCCTCCTCACCAGCCTGCCTAGGCTCTGGCCCACCCACTGCACTTCCCTGGGTCCCATCTGGTTTGTGCTCAGGGCTAAGACCAGGGCCCCAGGGCCAGCAGGCACCACATGTCCCTGCCAGTAGGGGCTCAGACACTCCCAGGAACGGCAGGGGCCCGGGTCCTGCTAAGCACCCTCTGAGCCCGTCTCAGGCCAGACCCTTCGTCCTCCCCAGCTCTGCACGGCCTGGCCAGGCAGGCGCATCCCCTCTGCTGCTGGAGAACTAGAGGTTTCCAGAGATTAAGAAATCTTCTTGGCTGTAAAAAAGAAGAAAATAGAAAAATGCCCAGGGCATGGTGGTGGACGTTCGTCGTCCCAGCTACTGGGGAGGCCAAGGCGAGAGGATGGCTTGAGCCCAGGACTTCACGGCTGCAGTGAGCTGTGAGGACGCCACTGCACGCCAGCCTGGACAAGCAGAGCGAGACCCCGTCTCAGAAACAAAACAAAACAAACAAGGAAATACGCCCAGGAAAACCTGCGGCCAGCTGTGGGGACACTGGGATCTGAATCCAGGCTGCAGCACGGCCACCTGCGACTCTGCGACTTCCTGCTCCTGCCCCGAGGGACGAGCTCAGCGGGCGACCGCAGAGCGGTGGGAGCGGCTTCCCCGCAAACCGAGGGTTCCACGCGAGGCCGGCGGCGGGAGGAGCGGCCGTGCCCGGAGAGCCTCGGCGCGCCCGCCCCCCCGGCCGGCCTGGCCCCATGGCCCGGCTGGGCGCGCTGCTCCTGGCCGCCGCCCTGGGCGCGCTGCTGAGCTTCGCGCTGCTGGCCGCCGCGGTGGCCAGCGACTACTGGTACATCCTGGAGGTGGCGGACGCCGGCAACCGCAGCCGCGGGCCCGGGCGCGCGGAGCAGCTGTCCTCGCACTCGGGGCTCTGGCGCATCTGCGAAGGTAACCGCGCCCCGCCCTCCTCCCTCCAGCGACCCTCCCCTCCCGCCCGCCTGATGCCCGCTCCTCCCCGCACCGCGGACCCCCGGGGCTGTCGGCTCCCTGCCCATCACCCTGGCTCTCCAGGAGCCTCCCACCCTGCCGCAGCCACAGTCGGGCTGAGGGGCGGCTGCGGAGGAAGGAGCTCCTGCCCAGGCAGGCCAGGGGCCGAAAGTGGGGGCAGGGCGGGCACTGTGTGGTCCCCTAAGGGTCAGGGTCAGGGACGTGAGAACCTTGCTGAGTGGAAACCAGGACCTGGGGCTGTCCCCTGGCTTCTGGAGCCTGTCTGGAGCAAAACTGGAGCGGCGGGTCCCCTGAAGCTGGCGGGGGCTCTGCCACTTGCTGCTGGGTGACCTGAGATCTTGTTCAGGGACTCAACCTCCAAGTCCCTGAGATGGAGAGAAAACGGTGCATCCCCAGGAGCCCACGCCGCTGCCTCCCTGGGAGACTGGGTCATTGCAGGAGGGAGGGCAAGGCTGGGCTCCTGGGTGCAGGTGGGTGCAGGTGCAGTGGCTGCTCTTGCTGCCCCTCTGCAGGGGCAGCCGCGGAGACCCTGGTGCACCCTTCCTGGAGAAGGGGGCTGTGGCAGTGCACGTGGGGGAGGGAGGCCCCGTGTGTGTAGCTGGGCGTCCTCTGGGGCAGCTGCAGGGTTTCCTCCAAGTGACCAGGAGCTGGTTCTTGCTCACCTTGCCCCGGGGTTGGACCCGGCAGCCTCCCAGCCTGAGGAGTGCCTGGGCAGGGGTTTCAAACCCCAGGCCCAGGAGGGAGGAGGGGTTCCCAGCAGGCTGGAGGGGCCACGTGCCCCCCACTGCTGCCCCTCACAGCTCCCTCCTCACCAAGTGGGGGCAGCCTGGGGGTTTCCCAGGCACAGGGCAGGCGCTGGGGTGGGAAGGATGCAGGAGAGTGTGTGCGTGTGTGCATATAGCTACGAATGTGTGTGTGCGCGCGCGCGTGACTGTGTGCGTGTGAATATGAGCGTGGGAGTGTGAGTGCGTGTCAGTGTACGTGTGACCATGAGCGGTCGAGTGAGTGAGCGTGCGCGTGTGTGTGTGGCGGAGGCAGCTGGGGGCCAGGGACTGAGCCGTTCATCTGACAGACTGTGCCTGCTGACGCACACGTGTGTGCATGTGCAGGTGACTGCGCACGTGTGTGACAGAGAGCACGCATGCCCACATGACATGAGCCATGAAGATTCCGGAGCGTGAGGCTTCCCGCGAGCCCATTTTGCACATCTTTTTCCTTTCAAGCCAAGTCTGATTTCCACACGTGAACACATTATGGGGAGCCCTGCCCGAGGGATTCCCGAGGGTCTCCACGGAGTGTTTGAGACCCTAAACGAGCCTCCATGCGGGCTAGGCTTGGGTGCGGAAATAAAGAAGATGAAAGTCCTCGGGCCTCCCATCCCACTCGGAGCCCCGACTCCGCGTCCCCGGGGAGAGGCTGGCGCCTGGTGCCGGTCTGCCCCTCAGCTCTGGTGGGTCCCCGCGTGTCTGGCCCGGGCTCTGCATCCCTGCTTTCCAGGGCAGAACAGCTGCATCCCGCTGGTCGACCCCTTCGCCAGTGAGAGCCTGGACGTCTCCAGCTCGGTGCAGCATCTCGTCGGTGAGTCTGGGGCCGGCCCGTCCCCACGTCCCCATCCCAGACCCGCAGAACCGCTTCCGGCTGGCCCAGGCACTTCCCAGAGGACATTTCTGCCTGGGTGCTCTGCTGTGGGCACCCAGGCACCTGACTGCCAGCCTGTCCCGCCCTCCCTGTCCCTCAGTTTCCCTTACAGTGGCAATGGCTCCCCGCTCTGTCGCTGGGGGAAGTGAGGCAGCCCTGAGCGGGCTGTGTCTTGTGGGCCCCACTTGGGGACTCTCCTTTGTCTTTCCAAATGGGCTGCTGGTCTGCCTGGCTGGCGTCTCCCCCCTCGTGGGCTAGGGGACACGTGTGGGTCTGCTGCCCCAGAGAGGCCTCGGTGGGGGTGGGGCAAGTGCCTGGGAAGCCTCCCCGGGAAGCCTGTGCCGGAGGAGAGGTGGCCACTGGGAGGGGCCAGCGGTTCCTGTGCATGGGAACAGGGTGGAGCAGCACATCTGCTGTCCCCTGGGCAGACTGGCGCTGAGCTCGCCTCCACTGTCCTGTGGGGCAGGGGCCGGTGGGCCTGGCCTGAGTCCCCTCTCCCACAGCGCTGCACCGCACTGTCCTGGTGGTCCTGCCCCTGAGCCTGGTCCTCCTCGTGTGCGGCTGGGTCTGCGGCCTGCCCAGCTCCCTGGCCCGGAGCACCCCGCTGCTGCTTTTCACAGGCTGCTACTTCCTGCTGGGGGGTGAGTCCCGGAGCCCCTGGGGGGTCAGCTAGGAGGATGGGAGTTGGGTAGGTCCTGGTGGCGGGTGCTGCCTCTCCTCTGCCCCGTCGCCCACTCCCCTCTGGGCTGGTGTGGAACCTGGGTCCACCTGGGGATAGAGCCACAGCAGGCAGTACCTCGGTGGCCCTGGAGCCTGACAGGGGCTTCTAATTGTGGGGTCAGAGCCAGGGACAGGATTGGTTTCAGGGTGTGGGGGCATCAGGAGCTGCACGGGGACCCCAGGACCTGCTGTGTTGGGTCAGATCATGCCGGGGGGCATGGGGCAGTCCCCACCGCTCCCTTCTCATTCCCAGACTGTCCTGGGAGGAGCAGGGCGGGCAGGGTGAGAGGGGGCATCAGAGTCCTTGGCATTGACCCCAGGCCAGGCGCCAGTGTTACTAGTGAGGGTCCACCAGCTGACCCGGACCCAGCACTGACCGCCTGCTGGCACTGGGCCAGTGTGCCCCAGGGGCTCCTCGGTCCCCCTTATGTGTGAGAGATTGCAGGCTTGGAGGGGTCCGAGGATTGGCCGAGGCTGGGGGTCCCCTCACTGCCTTTTGGTGCCGTCTGCCCAGCCGCTGTCTCCTGACTGCCGAGGCTGGTGGCTCCTACTGTCCAAGGCCAGGCCTGAGCCGGGTGGGGTCTCAGGCCAGCTCCACTCTCAAGCCGTGACCACAGGGACCAGACCACTGGGGCTGGGGCGTCCTCCAGGCGGGCCTGCTTCCCTGGACTGTGGGAGGCCAGGTGGGGGGCTGACTGGGAGCCTACAGCAGGGAAACCCGTGGCCTTGGTTTTGGTCGCAGGCCACATGAGACCAGCATTGAAGTCAAGGTCTCCTCTAGACAATGAAATCAGGGGAACCAAATTGTCAGCTGTGACCCTGAGCCTGGAGACTGTGAGTGTTCAAAATCCAATTAAGAGAACCCCTGGAAGCCAGCCACAGGAGTAATTAGGTTGGTTTCATAACTAGGAGACCTCATGGCCGTGAAGCCACCGGCAAGGGGACGGGGATCTGCAGGTGGCAGTCGGGGGTGTCCCACTGTGGCTCCCCAGGCAGAGGGTACCCGCTTCGAGGGCTGGAGGGGGGTCCAAGGCTGGCCTGTTGGAGGGACAGTCCACCAGCTCCCCTTGCTCAGGGTCCCGACACTGCTTCCCTCACACGGTGGTCCCCGTGGGACTGGGTCAGCTGTACACCACTCTCAGGCCACCCTAGGTGGTCCGGGTAGGGCCAAGGCAGGCCCAGCAGGCAGAAGCACAGAGAGCTCTGAGGCAGGGACGTCACCCCAAGGGCATCTGCCTAAGGCCAGCTCAAGTGGTGCTCCCCCCATTAGCATGGAAGATGGGGAGGGAGATGGAGGGGTCCAGGGTGGATTGGGGTGCTCCTCCCTGAGACAGGACCATGTGGGGACATGGTGGACGGACAGGGCCTGGAGTATCGAATCCCACTGCGACTGCCTTGCTCGGGGCTGCAGGCACCAGCCCAGGGAGATGTCCTTTGGGGGCTCTGAGGTCTGTCAGGAGCTGAGCCTGGGCTCCATCTCCAGGGAGAGTCGGGTGGGGGCTCAGGTGGGGGTCCCAGAGTGGGAGCTGGCCCTTTGTCCCTGCTTGCGTAGAGGGTCGTGTCCTCGGCCAGGCCAGATGGAGGCAGCTGGGGTTTGGAGGGGGCTCAGCTGGTGGGGCAGGAGCTCAGGCTGCAGCTGAGGCTAGTGCTGCAGGCTAAGACAGACGCCCCCTGCCACCTGGGCCCCCCACTGGGGGATGACTGCCCCCCACGGCCTCTCCCAGGGCCCCTTTCATTCAACTGGGCTTCCACTCTGCCCTGCCCAGCCCAGCCTACAGCTGTGTGTGTCCTGCCTCCCGCTGCCTCCCTCCCTTGCTCCTGTCTGTGGTCCTCCAGGCGCAGAGGACCACGGTGAGAGTCAGGCAATAGGGGACCCCAGGGCTGTGCCCCTTCTCTGGTCACCAGTGACATCTAGACCTGCCTTTGAATGTCAGCTGGATCAGTCACCTGTCCTTGACTGGGCAGTGCCCAGAGGGGACACTGTGCACCCAGGAGGTGCCTGTTGGGGGATCAGGCTACCTGCCCCTAGCCATCATTTCCTACAGGTGGCACCAAGGACAGGCTTTGCTGTCAGCCTGTAGCTGGGGGACAAGGGGTGTGCCCTGGCCTGGTCCTCCTGAGCACGCAGACAGGAAAGGCCCTGGAGGCCATGGGCTGAGGCCGTCGTCCAGCTCTTTGCTGGACCCTGAACTGCCAGACACAGGGTCACCTGGCACCCGTCACACTATGCAAAGCCAGTCTTCCCTCCCTGAAGACGGCTCTGACCGCATGGAGAGTCGGAGGGAGGAGGGCCCAGACAGGCGTCGTCCCCTGCCAAGGCAGGGCTGTAGGAGCCGGGAGAAGGGCCCAAAACTCAGACCTGGGGTGGGGGGGGCTCTGGAAGGAGGGCAGGGGAGGGCGAAGGTGTGCGGGAGAGAGGGCCAGAGGTGAGGGCAGGTGAGGAGCTCTGGGCAGAGCACCAGCCGCCCCAGCTGCCAGCAGAGGTTACTGGCTATTTGTGTGTGTGCGCGCATGTGTGTGTGTGTGTGTGTGTGTGTGCGTGTGCACATGTGTGTGCACTCGAGTTAGGAACTGTGGGGGGTACAGTGTGCGGGGCATTCTGTAGTGGGGACCATGCGTTGGCGTGCAGGTGGTGCTGTCTGCAGGGGGTTTGTGGGGTGAGGTCTCTGGGGTTTGGGGACTGAATTGGAGCCTCTGAAGCTCCCTCCCCCCAAACCTCAGAGTCAACCACCTTTAGCGTCTGTCCCCACCCGGCCCCCAGGGATCAAGTGGTGCCTGGGGGTGGCGGGGGCAGGCAAGGGGCAGTCATGGCTGACCAGGAGAAGGGACAGTGCAGCAGGGCCGTGTCTGCAGGCCACCTGGGCCGGGTCCTGCGGCAGCAGACACATGGAGTAGCCATGTGCACCTCTCCCCCAGGTGCCCTGACCCTGGCGGGGATCAGCGTCTACATCAGCTACTCGCACCTGGCCTTCGCGGAGACGGCCCGCCAGTACGGGCCACAGCACGTGCAGAGCGTCCGCATCAGCTTCGGCTAGTCCGTGGCCCTGGCCTGGGGCTCCTGCGCCTCGGAGGCGCTCAGCGGCGCCCTCCTGCTCACTGCTGCCTGGGTCCTCAGCCGGCCCGTCGCCCCCCACTCTGTGGTCGTCTGAGTCCCCAGCAGGCAGGCCGTGACGGGGAGAGGGCTCAGGTTCCCTTCGGCCACCGGCAGGAGGTGGGGTCCTGGACGGGAGGGAGCCCGGGGTGACAGGGTTGGGGGCAGAGCCCGGGGTCCAGGCTGCTTGCGGCACGTTGGGTGTTTGGGGAGGCTCCCCTTCCCTGCTAAGGGGCTTTAGGGACTAACTGGTTCAACTGCCTCTTAGGAGAAAAGCGAGTCCAGAAAGAGGAAACAAGTGGCCCTAGGGGATGCGGGTCGCAGGGCAGAGTCAGGTGGGATGCCTCAGGCTCCCGGGTGCTCAGCATGTGCTCTTGCCTGTCCAGGGTGTGGCCTGCACCCGCGCTTCCCTGGGCAGTCCCGTGTGCCACCGCTGCCCCCATTCCTAGGACCTGGGGCAGTCCAGGGAGAGAAGTGGCGTCATGCTGGGCGCTGAGGGCTCTCCTCTCTCCAGGCCCCAATAGCCCTACTCAGTGGTTCCTGTTTTTCCCATTTTGCAGAGGGGGAGACTGAGGCCCAGAGCAGCGAGGGACCCACCCAGATCACGCAGAGCCAGGTGCTCTTGCCGGCCAGGGGCCTCCCAGCCCCTGCTCTGTCCACTCTCCCCAGAGGGCAGGTGCCAGTGGGGAGGAGGTGGGGACAGGCCCGGAAGCCCCCAGGGTTTGCAGGTGGTGGGAGCTGAGCAGGCCGGGTGCGCCTGCCGCTCCTGGAGAGTGACTTCCCCTGAGTACATCCAGGCGCTCAGACCCCTTGTCCGGGAGCAGGTCACCATGCCCTCTGGCCCTGCCCTCCCACTCTGCAGCACCCTGAGCGCCTGGTGCCCTGCACTGAACCAGCAGGCGTGGGGGTCCCAGAGGGTGGGGTGGGGGGAGCGTGCTCTGGTGGAGGAGTATGGGCCACGCCTCGCCTGCCTATGGGGGCCCTGGGCGAGGGGCTTCTTAGCCAGAGGACCCAGGCCTGCGGGTCACTGCTGGGCAAGGGCGAGATGGGAGGACAGGGACAGCCAGCCCACACCTGAGCCACGCAGGGCCACAGAGGCTGGGGCACGCCTATTTGTATGTCAGTGGCCAGCAGGGTGGCTGCAGAAGGGTCCCAGGGGCCGTGCAGCACCTGGAAGCCCCAGATGGCCCCATTTTGGGTGCAGGGGCCCTTTCTGAGTCTCGGGACATATGCGGGGCAAGGGGGCAGCCCCTCTGGGCTTGTTCTTCCTCCCTGCAGCCCCCTCCCATCTCCCTCCATGCTTCAACGTGACAGGAAGCTCCTGGGGGCTCGGGAGCTGGCACTGCTTTGGCGGAACCCACTGAGGACAAAGAGCTGGGAGGAGAGTGGGGCCTTCCCTTCCTCCCCAAGTTTGAACTTTACCGTCCCATGTTCAAGCATGTGAACATTTACCATTCCATGTTCAAGTATGTGAACATTTACCATTCCACGTGCAAACACGTGCCAGCTCATCCTTAAATAAATAAGCTGGTGTTGTGTGCTGTGAAAGCCATTTATTTTTCTTGTAGACGTTTTCAAAACAGATAATATATGCCAATGTCTCACATAAACAGATAATATATGCCAATGTCTCACATATAGTGCAAGGGAGAACCAACCCTGTTAGCAGCTGTGTAAACATCCCCCCAGAGACGGCCTCTGTGTGTGTGTGTGCGCGCGTGTGTGGCCATCCATGCAGAGATGTCCTGTGTGTGTGGGCACGTGCGTGTGGCCATCCATGCAGACATGTACCGTGTGGTGTGGCCATCCATGCAGACATGTCCCATATGTGTGGCCATCCATGCAGACATGTCCCGTGTGTCCACGTGCCTGTGTGTTCGCGTCCATCAGTGATGTTTTCTGCAGACACAAGGCTGCTGCTTATTCGCAGGCCAGCACAGGGAGGGAGGAGTCCCTGGGCCTCCGAGTTGGGGTGAGGGGCTGGCTCGGTGGGCAGGTCCTGTCAGCTTGGGCGGAAGGTTCTGGGCCTCCCCTCGCCCTGCCCTCAGCGCCATAGCGCCTGCTGAGGCAGTTCTGCTGTGGGCTTGCAGGGGACCTGCGTGTGCGTGTTTAACCCCAGGCCTCCCTGACTGCAGCTGAGTTGGGCTCTGGTGGGGGTACCGCCTGCCCCTTCCCTTCTGGAACAAACCTGCCCACCTCAGCGCCACCGTCACTCCCAAATCATCTACAATAAAGACGTGTTACTTTGTAAGCAGAAACTTTTGTTTTTTAAAGGAAAGCATGTACAGATGACTATAAGACAAAGTCTAAGCCCCTGACCGAGGCAGTTAGAAGCCTCGCCGTCCAACTCCCACGGCCCTTTCCGCTGTCCTCCCACGGCTTCCTCACACACGTCCCTGAACTCGGGGTTCCCGCTGGCCCCACGGACCCCCGCAAATGGCTCGCCTCTGCCCTGGGAGCACAGACCCTGCCCTGGCTGCCACCCGGGCTGCAGCGAGGGTGTCCCACCTGTCCCTGCATCCTCAGGCACCCTGTGCCACACACGGGAGGCACTCAGGTTTGCTGGTGCACACAGGTAAGGGGTCTCGCCCTGAGTGTCACAGGAAGCGAAGGGGACCAAGGAGACCTTGGAGCGGATAAAGCCTGTCCTCCTGGCCGCTCGCTTGGAACCGCTCCGCTCCCCACTTCCATCCCAGCCAGGGCACAGGGTCCCCAGTCACTCTGCTTCAGCTGCCTCAGCACGAACTCCCACTTCCTCCGCGCCAGCTCGGAGTCCTGCGCTGAGATGTCACGGTGCCACACAGCACGCACGGACCACTCTGTCCAGGGCAACAGCGGCACACGCACCGTGTGGCCGGTCTGGGCCGCCTCCCCAGCGCTCACGGCCTGCAGGCACCGGCGTAGCTCCGTGGGCAGCCTGGCCACCCTCACCAGCACCACGTCAGTCTCCATGGCAGCGGGATCCGCTGAGCAGACAGGCAACACCAGTTCCTAGAGTCCTGGGCCAGGTCCTGCCTCTGACCCCACCGCCCAGCATGGTCACCTGGCAGGCAGCGGGCGGCTCAGCCCTGTGAGGAAGAGGACCCTGTGTCCTGACATGGCCTTTGCAGTCACACAGACTGAGCTCTGCTACGTTTAGCTGTGCGACCTTAGGCAGATCGGTTGACCTCTCTGGGCCTCAGTTTCCTCATTGGTGAAGTGGGGACGTCATGGGGTTGTTGTGAGGACTCGATTAACAGATGAAAGACCCAAGTTCGAGGCTACGCTCTGCCAGATTCTGCACAGACTGACAGTTACCAACATTCTCCCACCCATCCAATCTCTGAGTGCTTCTCCGTGCCGGGCTCTGCACTGCGTGGGGTCTGGTAAAGCAGCCCCCGGGTCCCACCCTAGTGACTCAGAGCTAACCCTCGGCATCCTGAGTCCTGCAGGGTGCAGCTGTGCTGGGGATTTGGGCCCTGCTGCAGAGGACGCCCCCCAGGGCGCACCCCAGGCCTGGTCCGGGGAGCGAAGGGGAGGGATAGTGCAGGGCCCAGCCCAGCACCGCTGGCCAATCCCTGGGCGTTCTCGTGGTCCCTCAGCAGCACCTCCTCTGTGTCTGCCAGTCCCACCAGGGCAGCGGCAGCTGTGGCCAGCACCCCCGCCTAGCACGTGCCCCACCCAGGGCTTTCCGGAGGTGCCAGCTTTCTTTGATGACATCCTTGGGCCCCCCAACCAGAGCCCCCAGTGGGGCGCCCGGGCCCTCGGGGTTAGAGAGGAGAGACTCCCAGCAGCCACCTCGGGTGCACCCCTGTCCTTGGGCCGGCAGAGGGCAGGTGCTGTAGCCTGTCTGGGGGTTGTTAAAGGGGGGCCCGGGCCAGCTGCCAGGGTGGGAGCACAGGAATCCCTGGGACGCCCCCCACACTTGCTCTGGGCAGGCAGCCCAGGAGTTGCCCCACCTCAGAGAAACAGAAGGACGGAGGCACCCCGCTCCACGATGCGGGTGGGCGGCTCGGGCAGAGCCAGCTGCGCTCAGCCGACCGGTCCAGGTGGACGCAGGCCCCGCCCGCAGGTCTGGGCTAGGAGGCGCACCTGGGGACGAGGCGCAGGCGGGTCAGAGGCGCCGGCCCTAGAAAGGAGTGGAGGGAGGATGGTCTCCAGGGCCCGGGCTTGGCTCCCTGAGGAATCACGGGTCCAGAGTCAGGAGGCCCGGTTTGGTGACCGGCTGTGGTTACTTGGGACCCGAACAGTCACGCCGAGCCTCGGTGCTGCACTCCGCGGAAGGGGCTGCCGGTGAGTGTTTCAACTCATGTTTATGGGGCACTGGCCACGGGCCAAACGCTAACCCCGGGCCAAGGGCATGCCCGCCTCATCTCACGGGGGCTGCACGGCAACTCCACAAGGGAGACGCTCATGCCCCATTTCACAGGCGAGGAACACAGGCTTGGAGAGTAAGGGCGCTTTCCCGCGCCCTCAGCCCCGCAGCCGCCTCCCCTGGCTCGCCCAGGTGCAGCTGAACTGCAATGCACTCGGCTCGTGCTTGTCCCTGTGTCCCCATCTGGGCGCACGTTTCCAGTCCAGGGCCTGGGACTCGGCTCTCGCGGGTTGGGTGGGGCATCTCTGCTCTTGGGGGAGTCCGGGGAGTGAGAGCCCTGAACGGGGCAGTAATTCCCTTTGCGTCTCAGCCCTGGACCACCCACAACCCTCCCATGACAGTCTGGACACTGATGGTGCCCATGGCACGGATCGGAGGGGACTAAATCCCAGGGTGGGGGTGGGGGGCACAGGAAGCCAGGACAGGCTGGAGGTGGGGACACAGTGGCGGAGCCGGGTCCACCTGGCCCCCCGAGCTGCTGTTTGTGTTCTCCAGGCACGGGAGCTCACAGACCGGGTGGCAGGTGCTCCCGCGGTCCTGAGTGATCATCCTCTCCAGCTCAGCCAGGTGCAGGGTGCCGCGGGGCAGGTCAGGGAGGGGTGGGAGTGCACCCCAGCGATCTGCAGATGGGGTAGGGAACAAAGGGTGAGGCAGGTCCTAGCGTCCATGGCACCTCCTTGTGGAGTAGAGTGCTCCTCCGCAGTGAGGAGCCAGCTCCCCAGTCCTGAGCCCGCTCCTGCCCAGCTGCAGGCCTTGGAGCCGTTCCCTGGCCCCGTGCGTCTGCACACAGACCTCTGCTCCCGTCCCGGCTCCGGGTGCCCACTAGAGGGCAGCAGGGCACCAAGCGCCGCCCGGGTGTCAGCCCAGGGTCCCTAGGGCTGGTATGAGCCGCTGCCGCCCCCACGCGGCAAATGTGGGACCCAGCTCGCCTTCCCACCTCCCAGCCAGCTTCCCGTGGCTCTCCCTGACCCCTCTGCAGGTCCCAGCCTGGGAAGCAGGTTCCTACCCGAGCACTCTGCGCTGGCTAGAGGGTGCCCAGGGCCCCGGGTGACCAGTGCCTTGTCCTTACCTGAGCCGCCCTGCCCTGCTCACAGA